ATCAAATGATATATACCCTCTGTAGCCACATGGCTGAGGGTATAAAAACGATTTGTAAAAAAAAACAATCTGAATACTAAAAGAAACAAATATGAGACTCGAAATCTCTGCTTTCAGGGATTGAAACAGTTTTTGGACTAAAACAAAAAAACTGACTTCCGGCGAGTCAAATTTCAATGAACCTAACTTACTTACCTTTCTCTGGAAAAACGTGTAACCTGTTGGTTAAAATAAATTTATTTTTATTTTGAACATAATTAAGACGATTGTTTAATTTTTATTAGTGTTTTGTTAAATTAAAGAGTCCTCAAACTTTTACTTTTAAAACAGGTCTTGAAAAATAAATAATAAAAAAACTGTAGTTTATTGTTCTTTCAATGTTTTGTTTACAACAATCATTTATATTAATTGCATTTATTTCTTACATGCTGTTGGAGATATCTGAAAATAAAGATTCTCTATAACAAATTTTATATATCCATCAAATTACAACTGAATGAAAGGTCACTGCCGGTCAAAGGTTATTTTCTTATATTTCTAAAACCAAAATTTTAAAAATCTGCTCGTATTTTGTCCATGAAAATGTTACTAATTATTTTATAGAATTTATATGAGTGCCAATATACCTATTCCATCGATTCATTGATTCCGGAAATTATCATTGAACTTTGCTCATAAAGTTCTTGTTAACTCTTCAAATGGCTACTGTTCTTATTCTAACCACAAGCAGTGGCTATTTAAAATGTTAGCTTATCAATCAGCTAGCTGGCTACTAATAAAAGCTATGAAATAACAAATAGGCAAATTTTCAATCTTCAAATCAAATGTACATATCCCTATACATACATATAAATCCACATGGGCTATATGCAAGATAACACACAATAGCCCCCTTTTAGAAAGCCACCGCAAGGAATACGCGGGTCCATAACTATGCAAAAAATATATATTGTTGTGTGTGTTTTTGATTAATCTACATATCGTCTATTTAGTGCTTAATACCGTTATCAGAACACTGGTCTTGGTACAAAGATCAATCGATGCACCCAGACGGATAGACTGATATTTTCGTCACAGTTTCTTTTTTTTTTTTTTTTTGTTCTAGGATTTTTTTCTTAAAATCCAAAAAATGAAATCAATTCATAAAATAGAACAAGTAAAAAAGCAGATAAGTTCGGCCCGTCCGTTATTTTAATACCCTCCACCATTTGGAAGGAACTTGAAAAATCTCAAAAAAACTACAATTTAAATTTTAAATAAAAATACCAAGATATTGGGAGGTTCCGTCATTTGAGGCCTATACGAAGCCGTGGACCTACATGCAAAATTTTTTGTCATAGCCTGAAGCACCCATTACGAACTTCAAACACCAAATTTGGAACAATTCCGGTGAATAATGTCGCTAAAAAATCAAAGTAGCGAATATCTTGGTTTACCGTTATATGGGGGCTATATGAAGACGTGGACCAGACAATTTTCTGTCATAGCCTGAAGCACCCATTACGAACTTCAAATACCAAATTTGAAACAATTCCGGTGAATAATGTCGCTAAAATCATCAAAGTATCGAATATCGTGAGGTACCATTATATAGGGGCTATACGAAGACGTGGATCTGCATCGACAAATTTCTGTCATAGGCTGTAGTATCCAATAGGAACTTCAAATACGAAATTTGAAATAATTCCGGTAAATAATATCGCTAAAATCATGAAAATACCGAATATTGGGAGGTACCGTTATACGGGAGTTATACGAAGACGTGGACCTGCACAGATAATTTTGTGTCATAGGCTGTAGTACCTATTACGAACTTCAAATACCAAATTTAAAATAATTCCGGTGAATAATGTCGCTAAAATCATCAAAATACAGAATATCGGGATGTACTGATATATGGGGGCTATACGAAGACGTGGACCTGCACAGACTATTTTCTGTCATAAACTGTAGTATCCATTTCGAAATTCAAATACCAAATTTGAAACAATTCGGGTGAACAATGTCGCTGAAATAACCAAAATACCGAAAAAGGGAGGTTCCATTATATGGGGGCTATACCAAAACGTGGACCTATGTCACCCATTTTCAATACCAAAAGTCCTGCAAACATAATACACATTTAAGTAAAATTTTATCAACCTACTTCATTTCGTTCGGAAGCTAATGTGATTTCCACAGACGGATAGACGGACGGACATCGCTAAATCGACATAGAATTTTATGCTGATCAAGAATATATATATTTTGTGGGGTCTAAAATGTATATTTCGAGGTGTTACAAACGGAATGACAAACATTGATATAACCTCCATATTATGGTGGGGGGTAACTTTATAAAATATAAAAAATCCCTGACCACTCGCCACAGTGTTTGTGATTGAAATTCATACTAGAATAGAGCTAATTATCAACATTCGACGTTTCATTCGAACGATTACATCGTTTCATATTAAGTAATCTCGTATAATTCCATGAGGCACACAGTCATCTGTGAAACCTCATCTCCTTCGCCTAAAACCACATAATTTTATAATAATCTCATTAGATGTATTTTATTAAATTATACTTGTGTGTGAAACTCGACTTGGGAGAGTAATCGATTTGTATTAAAAAAAGTCATAAGTGCGTAAGCGTAAAACTAGGGAATTTAGGGAATTTAATGTAAAGAATGGTAGGAAAGAGGGAATTGCTAATAGCATGTTTCCATTGGAAACCGAACAACGTTGTTCGCTCTCAGAATTAAGTACACGAATTAACCCGTTCATACGGCACGATTCGTAATTCATAGTAAAATAATTCCTTTTTTCAAAAATTTTGTTTGTTGATTTTAATGGGAATTTATACGAAAATCCATGAAATTCTCACTAATATGAATAGAAGAAATTATTGTTTTCCTCCCAAAGATTTATTATATCATTAATTTTACAAATTTTCATTCACGATTTCAACTTTTTGTGTAAATGTTGACATTTTGAACACATTTTTGTGTTTTTCCATTTTTAAATTCTGCTGGAGAGACACTTGTCAAACATTTTTTCTGCCGATAGAAACATTTTGAAAATGTTGCCTCTTTTGTTTGCGTTTTCTGTGGAAATTTTAACTCGTGGACAAAATGCGTACCTCGAATGAGAGAGAAAACAAAATTTACTTTCGTTTGAATGAACATACCCCATTCAACATTGTAGTTTTCATTCATAATTTTCAGTCTTCCCAAAAATTTTTAAAATTTCATCAAATTTTTCTATTTTTAATTTTTAAATGTCATAATTTATTTTTTCGATAAATACTCTCATTTGTTAGGGATGGGACATATTTTTTCGTTGTTCTGAGAGTGATTTGATTTGAACAACGTACAAATATGAGTGTTCGCTCAGGAAATTTTGTGTGAAGAATTAGGTAGTTTTTTCATAGTTAAGGGTCAAACAACGAATAGAGAGCGAATCAAGTGCAGTGGAAACGCCACATAAGATGCATAAGACAATAGGTGTGTCTGATTACCTTAAAATTTGTAAAAATTGTTACTGAAAGTCGTTTGCTTACCCGAAAGTTCTGCAAAATAGAGCGGTTGGAGAGAGAAATTTTGACAGTTCTTTCAGTGAGAGTTTGCAAATTCTTGCTGTACAAATTTCTTCTTGCAATCACTTGCAACTCTTCTTCTTATTCATCGACATTCAAGCAGATGTTTCCATTGTTTATTTATTAATTTTGTTTTTTCAATTTGAAAATATTTTTTTGGAATTAGCAAGACCGATTGTTTTTGGAGAACAACTTTACAAAAAGTAAAAAACGAAAATATTAATATGTAATAAGAAAATAAAAGACTATTTCCAACATTTTTAGATAAACGCCATTAGCAACTCGTTTAAAGGATACCGGGGAACACATCAAATTATCTTTCTTTTATTGCTCATATTTTTATGTTATTGCTAATTTCCTTTTTATTTATAAAACTTGTGAAATTGGTGGTGGTTCCTTTCGTTTAATTCTTTAAATGGGGGACAAATAGGTTTGTTTTGACAAATCAGCTGATTAGTTGCAAGCTTTTGCAGGAATACCGTCTGTTTACTTTTCGCAATTTCCTTGCAAAAGAGAATAAAACTACCTTTCTCTCTCAGAAAGATGTTGCTGGACAATTCCTGCAAGAACAGTAACCAGACACACCTAATTTCTTCTTGCAATCACTTGCAACTCTTCTTCTTCTCATTCATCGACATTCAATCAGATGTTTGCTATTGTTTATTTATTTCTTTTTGTGCTATCAATTTGATTTTTTTTTTTTTGGATTAGCAAGACCAATTGTTTTTGGAGAACAACTTTACAAAAAGTGCAAAACGAAAATATTAATATGTAATAAGAAAATAAAAACATTTTTAGACAAACGTCATTAGAAACACGTTTAAAGGATACCGGGAAACACATCAAAATAATCTTTCTTTTATTGCTCATATTTTTATTTTTTGTTTATAACTTCCTTTTTTATTTATAAAACTTGTAACATTGGTGGTGCTTCCTTTCTTTTAATTCTTTTAATGGGGGTCAAATTGGTTTGTTTTGACAAATCAGCTAATTAGTTGCAAGCTTCTGCTGGAATACCGTCTGTTTACTTTTCACATTTTCCTAGCAGAAGGGAAACTAACTTACTATATCAGAAAGATGCTGCTGGAGGAAATGTAACCAGACACACCTAATTTTTATTCGGCCCATGATTTTTATACAGCCCTGAGACTATGCCCGCTTCCTGTCAGAAGTCAGCCGATGATATAAGAAGCTCTCTACTTCCACCTTAAGGGCTTCCGTCTTTATTGGATTTTGTTTTCATTGTGCCTAAGGAACTCTATCACTAGCATTTCGCTCTTAGTTCCCTACATTTATTGGCAACACTTTTACATTCATCTGTATGTAGTTCACAAGGTTCCTTTTAAGAAATACGCTGTTGATATTTGACTCAACTAGTTCCGCTGTCATTTAATGAATAAGCATTCAGCCGATTGCGATTTTCTCATTTCTCATTCGTAAACAACAGAGGTCTTTGTGGTTTTTCTTTATCGACAACCCTACAGCGACAGGTGTATCAGTGGATGCATACTTTCAGGACAACATACTAAAATTTTACTTTAATTCGGGTTTTCTGAGTATATATATTTAAAGTCGTTCTAAAAAATGACTTAAACAAAAATTCTCTAAAATTGAATGTCGAGAAAATTGCAAATAGACTATAAACCTATTTGTTCGTTTACTAACAATAAAACTTGTTACAATAACAGTAGGGAGAGTTCTGCAAAAAGATATGTCTGATGAGGAGGAAGATTACATGTCGGATAAATTCTTGGCCGGGTAAGCTACAAATACCAGAATCTAACATCTATTACAGCATCCTTCAACCGTCAACTTTTTCTAGTGCAGCTGAAGTGCGACCAAGTCTAATTCATAATCGTGCCAAAAAGCGCCAATTGATGGTGGAAACTAAACAAAAGGAACACATTAAGAAACAGCGTGAAAGCAAAGCACAATCATCGCCCACGGTTAGCAATGAAAAGTTGCAGGAAGCCCTGAGTAAACCATTGGAAACAGATAACAAAGGTTTCAAGCTATTGGCCAAAATGGGCTATAAACCGGGACAAGCTTTGGGTAAGGTAGTAGAAAAAGAAAAACCAGAAAAAGTTGCAGGCGGCCAACCAAGGCTGCTAGAACCCATTGGCATAACCATAAAATCCGACCGACAAGGTTTGGGTAGAGAATCTGCTCTTAGGGAATTGATGGAGAAGCAAATTGAATTGCGAAAACAACGTCTGCAAAAAGAAATTGGCGCAACAACCATTGAGGCATTTAGGAAAAGAGCTACAGAAAGAGCCGAAGAAAGATTTGTGACAACTTCTTTGAGGTAAATATACTTGCGTCCTTTGTCTTAAATATAAATACTTAATGAATTTGCTAAATATAGGCGGTGTCAGCAAACATGTCAAAACTTAGATGTTGAAAATCATATTGAAACACCTGACATGCCTTGGTTTTGGCCAGATGTACCCAAAGACCAAGATGAAACCAATGCTGAAAGTGTGGAAAATCCTGACTCCGAATCGGAAGATGAAACCTCTGAAGAGTTTAGCGCTGCCGAAAAACTAGAAATGTTGACAAATTATATACGCACTTCATATAATTTTTGTTTCTGGTGTGGCATACGTTATGAAGACCAACAAGATTTAAACGAAAATTGTCCTGGGCTCAATAAAGATGATCACTAAGCTGTATGTTTGAATTTTATTAACTCTATCAAATGCACATAATACAATTTCGAAATGTCTGTATATTTTTAATATAAAAGAAAAGCCTCATTTATAAAAGAAAAACATACAAGAGCATGAGAATATTGAATAAAAACTTTTAAAACAAAACATAATTATATAAAATTTAATAAAAAAAAATTAACTAATTAACTTTAAAGTCAATAGAATGTTGATGGAAATCAGTAAACAAACATAGTTTTTAATAGATTTAAATGATATAATGTAATAGTTATTCTTCTGCTGTGGAATGTGCTAGACACGACCTTCTAGTTTTTGTATCAAGTCATGACATTTTTCAATTACACTGTAAATGAAGGGCCTTTCCATGGGATCCATTCGCAGCATGTAACTGATAAGATCATGCATGTCCTAAAAAAAGAATACAAACTGTTGATAAAATAGTTTGAATTAATTTAATTTGAAGTTTTACCTGTGAATATATCGAATTTTCAGGAATATTTAAATTGCCACTGAGAACAGCAAGGGCCACACTATCACCTTTCTCATAAATTGGATCAAAGGGACAATGAAAAAAACACATTGCATATAGAACGCAGCCAAGACTCTGAAAAACGCTAAATTAATACATACTTGTAAATTTATTATTTAAAAACGTTTTTCATACCCATATGTCAGTTCTTTCGTCTACCGTACAATATGATTTAACGGAGAACAACTCAGGTGCCCGGTAGACAATAGAACTACGCTCCTCCGCCTCATCTTGCAGTCGTTGGGCTTCACTTTGACCGCATATTTGCAGACGTGCCTCGGTCATTGAACCCAAATCAACAATAATCGGTTCAAAGGAATCAGACAAGCAGATATTGGCTGTTTTCAGGTCACGATGTGCCAACGGAACTGGTTTCGATTCGTGTATTGCCCTCAGTCCCTCGCATATGCCCAAGAAAATTTGCATTATTTGCGATTCTGGCATATAATCTTGCCTCTTGGCACGCATTTGAAGGTGGTCGTGCAGCGAACCATGTTTGTAATATGGCAAAACAATATACAAAGTGCTCGTTGTATTTATCACAATGTCAGCAGAGCCTTTCAGTTCGAAGTCAATAACTTTTATGACATTCTCCGAGTCGATGCGACGGCAGTTTTCTATTTCTCTTAAGGCTATATTCTGGTCATCTATACTGTGACATGTAATACGTTTCACGGCATATAACTTTCGTGTGATATTATTTTCTGCCAAGTCAATTAAACTGAAACCACTGCAAGATAACAGATTTTAGACGTAAGCATCATCTCATCATAATTTGCACACTCAGACACACAACATATTTACCCTTGCGCTAGTCGGTCCTTGATTGTATATTTGGTCCCATTAATTGTTAGAGTTTCTTTGGAGCAAAAGCAACCACGTTTCACTATTAAAGCCCATCCTAAACTATTCATATTTTGTTTGAAAAGATACAATTATATTCTACTTTGAAATAAATTGATTGTTGTTTTCTTTTAATTTTTTGTTTTTGTAAAAAAGTGAAATCATTTAGCAACAGTGGTGTGCAGTTCACAAACTAACTAACGAATGGTTCACGTATGTGGGCGAATGAACTAGTTTTGTCAAAGTTGATTCTCCTTTACACGCGAAGAAAACTTCAAGATATTTTCTTCGATTCATAAAGGAAAAATCGGTTATGGGAGTAAAAACTTTTACATTCTTGCAGTTCTGGAACAGACCAATAGGTTCATAGACATATCCACCAATTACAGCGCTATTAAATGCACAATCATTTTGCTCATTTTGAATTATACGAATGCCATCACTATTCGAAGGGCCAGCTGATGGCATTCCAGTGATCTGTAGGTCGATATTTTACAAAGGAATAAATCTACTAGCTGGATCCCTAAAAGGCTAAACAAAACACGCTGAGACACTGAACGCGTCATTTTTTTCCATATCATAAAAGACAAATCACTCTGTTTCAAAACCAGCATAAATCTACTAGTTTTGCAACTTTTTTGCATGGTAGAATAATATAGGTAGACGCATCGACACAACTGCTGGGACAATGAACTGTCAAACCAATTTTGGAAGTTAAAATGTTGAATGAAAAATTATTTATATTTGTAAAAATTGTTGAAAAGCGGGAATTATAATAACCCCCGAATGACGTCGTAAAAGAAAAAATATAAAAATCTACGTATATTTGAAAAAAAAAAAACATTAGACATTTTTTGACATATCAGTGTTTTCAAGCGTTGATGCGTCTACCTGTATTTTTCTACCATGCTTTTTTGATATCATAAAGGGCAAATTGGTTATCGTAGGAAATATTTTACATTGGGCCTGTTCCCGAACTGCAAGAATATAAAAATTTTTACTACGATAACCGATTTTCCCTTTATGGTATCGGAAAAAATTGCAAAACTAGTAGATTCTTTCAGGTTCTGGAACAGACCAATTCTTGTGGATCTAGAACGAAGCAACATGGCTTTCAGAATATTCTTGAAAATTTTCAAATTCTAAAGAAATAAATGCAGCTGTTGGCTTGTTTTTTACCAACACGACTATACTTTTTTTTATTGTCAAACTTATATTTTGTAACCTTTTCTTAGATATGTGCACATGGAATACAGGTAGATGTATTAACGTTTGGAAACAATAAAATGTCAAAAAAAATGTTTCTTCTAAACTAAATATATTTGCATATTTTTTCCTATACGACGCCATTGATATGCATTTTTTAATAATTGTTACAAATTTGAATAATTTTTCATTCAAAATTCTCAATTCCAAAATTGCTTTTACAGTTCATTGTCCCAGCAGCTGTGTCCATGCGATTACCTGTATTCTTCTACCATGTTTCAAAGTTTTTGCTACGATAACAGATTTTTCCTTTATGATATCGAAAATAATTGCAAAACTAGTAGATTCCTGCAGGTTCTGGAACAGAGCAATTGTAAAAATTATTTTTTTTATGTTGCTAATACTAAATTGACATGGCACGTGATTTGCTCTATATTCTTTGTCCGACCATTAATTATGAAATATCTAATTCTGAGAGCGAACAACATGACTGAAAGTGCAATGAGAATATAGCACAACTTTTTATTAACATTTCCCAAACAGAGTGGCAACCATGCGCATAGCCAGATATTATCGATAACAATCTATCATCAATTTAAATCAATTGCTTGTTATCGTCTATTGCACTTCGCTATTTCTCCATCATATTTCCCAGAGTGTTTTTTGCCAAAAAAATAAAATTGATTCGGAACAGCTTGTTTTCTATCGGATATTACGCGAAATTTATTTAGGTTTATCACATTCTAATGAACTCTTACGGTTTGTATTTATCATAGAACATGAAATTTTCTTATATTATTTACGTTCGCCCTTACTCCTCAAAATGCCTCAGAAACTCCTATAATATGCACCAACAAACTGTTTAGCTCAGCCCTCTTGCTCCAGTCCGCCTTTAGCGCATTTATAAAAAAAACAAAACGAAAAACACGGCCTGATCCATCTGTTGGTTTCTTTTTATTTGTTTATATTCATACATACATATTTATTGCCATTATTATATTTATATTGTGTAAATAGTGTGGTAATTGTTTTACTTAAATTTCGTTTTGTATTCTTTTTAGTTTTTGTGTTACAAGTGTAAAAAAGAATCAATCAATCAAACAAAAAAACAAACATACAGCCCTCATATAACGCAGTATTAAAAAAAAATATTTTACAAAAACTATACTCCACTACTACTCACATATAAAAGGAACAAGTTCCTGATCGTATCAAAACACTAAACAAATCCCAAAAATATATCATTTACTCTTAAAACAAAAAAGAACAGAAACAGAAACTTGTCCAGCAGCATTTTGCTAAAAATTCCAACAAGCAAACTGAAAGCGCGCAAGCAAACCCTTCCATGCAATATGGCCAAAATGTATGGAAAGGGTAAGAGTAAGTATAATAAATACCTTGAACAATTTCAAGTTATTCATTAAAATGCTTTTAAACCAAAAAAAAAAAACGTAGTTTAAAAAGTAGTTCAAATCTCATCTCATGTTATGATTTTTCATTTTGTATAGAAATGCTTTAAAAACACAAAATTTTTCTATGACAAACCTTTTGGCCAGCTTTCTTTTGATTTGCCATTTTTTTGTTACCGTTATCTGTGTGTGATACTCAAATTGTGCAGAGAATGTGTGTGTGTGATTTATTGATAATTCTTTTTTGTTTTTTTCGTTGCCCCCCACATTTAGCCGCCACTGAATCGGAGGAACAGCAAAAATTACGATGGCAAGTGGAATTGGAGTTTGTTCAATGTTTGGCAAATCCTAATTACTTGAACTGTAAGTAGGTCTCATGGTCTTTAGAAAAATTAATTGCTAACTTTTCAATTTTCTAGTTCTAGCACAACGTGGCTATTTCAAGGATCAAGCCTTTATCAACTATCTAAAATATCTGCAATATTGGAAGGAACCGGAGTATGCCAAATATCTAATGTATCCCATGTGCTTGTATTTCCTTGATCTCCTGCAGTATGAACATTTTCGCCGGGAAATTGTCAATTCACAGTGTTGTAAATTCATTGATGACCAGGCCATACTGCAATGGCAGCATTACACGCGAAAACGCATCAAAATGTTAAATGCCGTCAATGGCAATGTCAATAGTCAACTGAATTCAACGACCGGTTCGAATTTGGATCTAATGGATGGTACACAACAACAATCGGGCCAATTAACAGGGCAACAACAGGCGACGCAGCAGCAAGGCGCTCAAGCCACAAATGCCTTGGGTGGTAGTGTTGCTGGCAATATGCAAAATGGTACAGTGTCCTCGGTTGGTGGTGGCGGTGGTGGGGGCACTACACCGCAAAATCAAATGGTTGGCCAGCCAGGTCAACAATCTCAGCAACAACAATTGAATGGCAACTCATCGAATTCTTCCATTGTTCCAAATCAAAGCAACACTGGTGCTGCAATGATGCAAAAAATTTAATAATTGCTTTTCATTTATAATTAATATTATTATTATTACAAAAACCCCATTAGCTTAAGCTTTAAATAATTTTGTATTGTACTTTTTTTTTTGAAAATAATATTATTGTAAGTGATAGGTAAAAGTTCAACTAATTTATTAAAAAAAATATATATATCTAAAAAAATTCTTTGATATTAATCGATGATGATTTTTGTAAGCTGTTAATATCTTTCAAGGGAACAATTTCATGAAACAGAAAGATAGTTATCTTTCCAAAAAAAACTCTGGGCCAGATTCTCGAATACAAAATCGAATTTGTGTTTTCCTATATTAGCTTGATAAAATTGAAAATTTTGATAAAAACAACTAGGGTGGGCGATATTTAGTTGTTTCTAGGCAAATTTTCAATTTTGTGAAGTTCGAATGCAAGAATTTTTAATAATTAAAAATTGAAGGACAATTGGTCTTTCTGCTTCCAATACCTTCGAAGATTCTCAGAATCGATCACATTTTTTTCAATATCTAAGATTGAGTTTCTGGTATTGACTGTTTTTTTTTTTTTCCTATACAAATAAAACAATTTTAAAGTAAGATCCCCCGGAATAAAAATCAAAAGTTTGAATGATCTCTAAGCCCTCTTTTATGTGGGGCGAATGTGAAATTTTTGGGCGCCATTTTTTGTACACAATGCTTTAATGGCACATCAATGCTTCTATATATTTTCAGATTAAGAGAAAACTAAAAAAACATGTCCGCGGACGATAATTTAAAGTCCCGTTTCTTTGGCGTCTATCTCTTGTGCAGCCATAGCTTGGAAAAGCGCTATCAAGGCAAGTGTTATATTGGTTTTACTGTCAATCCAAATCGCCGAATAAAACAGCATAATCGCGGAAAAGATTTTGGCGGGGCCAAGAAGACAAGTAACAAAGGTCCCTGGAAAATGGTAATGATTGTACATGGATTCCCCAATAATATATCAGCTTTACAGGTAAGAGTCTAATGATGTATGATTTGGATGTTCAAAAGATAAAAACGAAAACAAAATTGGAACTAGGAGGTCTTTGCCAAAATCCAGACCCCAGAATAACGTTAATCATACATAACGAAAATAGAAATCTCAATGAATTTATACAGGGTGATATGAAAAAACTGCGACCAACTTCAGACTGCTGTCATTTCTAAGTTTCGTCCGACAGCTGTTGAAATTATTCAATATTTGCCGAATGGAATATTGCGATATGTTCAGCTCACGGCCATAATTCGTGCCAAAGGTGAACAATTCGAACAAATTTAAACTTATTCTAAAATTTGATGCTATTTCCAACAATTTTGGCTTTCATTCAATTAAATAAAAAAATGTAAAAATTATGGCGTTTGACTTTGTTGCCGTTGTTTTATCTCACCCTGTACATACCCATTGTTTTGCATTAATTTCCATTAATTTTTATAATTCAACACAAGTACAGATATCAGTAAACTAACTGACAACGAGTAAATTTATAATGATTTTTAATAGATATGTGACCTCCAATATCTTGTTGTGCACACAAAATAGACTTTTTGCCTCTCTGCAAAACGTAAAACTTTTCTCTAACAAACCTTGTTTTATATATTCTTTGTTTATCTCCAAAAATAGTTCGAATGGGCATGGCAACAACCATCGTTATCTTCACGCCTAAAAGTCTATCCGGAATTGAAGAGAAAACTACCCAAGGAAACATATTTTCAATATAATTTTCGTATTTTGAGTCGTATGCTGAATACTGGACCATGGAACCGACTGCCACTGATTGTGCAATGGCTGGAGGAGGACTATGAATGTGAATTTGATGTAAGTATATGTAGGATACCGTCTATATTGAAATTTATTGTTTGGAGAATAATTGCGGAGAAAGTCCAGCAGATTTAGAAAGTAGAGGACTTGTGTATCGGCATTTTGAAAGTTTGCATCGCAAAGTAGCCTAAATAGAGGGGCTGAGTTTCCCCCTCTTGGAATCCTTTGATTTTAGGTATTTAGAGCCTTTGACAATATTTTAGATAAAAATAAGAGGATTAGTTAACCCTCAAGCGAGTCAACTTAGGGGTCTTTTTGGCCCTTTTTATACCCTCCACCATAGTATGGAGTTTGTCAGTTAAGGTTGTTCCTCCGTTTGTAACACCTCGAAATATACATTTTTAGACCCCACAAAGTATGCAGGGTGAGATAAAAAAACTGCAACAAAGTCAAACGCCATAATTTTTACTTTTTTAAATTTTATTGAATGAAAGCATAACATGTCGGAAATAGCATCAAATTTTAGAACAAGCTTAGATTTGTACGAATTGGTCACCTTTGGCACGAATTATGGCCTTTAAACGGCCAATGAAACCGTAACACGCTTCGGCATTTATTCTGATGCCACGGTCGATTAATACGAGCGGAGAGCGACCATCGCCTATTATTGCGGCCCACACCATGGCCGGCGCTTGAGTTCTGGTGGCCAACCGAAGGTGCATATTTTTAGCTGACCTCTTTGGCAAGTAAACACGATCATTTTGTTTGTTTACAAACTGCTGAACAACGAATGTTTTCTCATCGGAGAAAACCAAATTCGGCAGTTCACCACTTTCGGCCAAGCGAAGCAACTCTTTAGCTCTTTTGAGGCTATTATCTTCCTGTAGCACATTTTGAAATTTCAATGGCTTTACCCGGAGCTCATTTTTCAATATTTGCCGAATGGAATATTGCGAACAATATTCAAACCATTTCTGCCGATGTTGCTGTTTTCTTCGGCCTACTTCCTTGACTTTGAGCCAGGCTACCAGTATCACGGTAACGAGCGATGGTATGAGACACAAAAGATTTATTCACATTTAAATGCTGGAGTGCTCTAACGATAGCCACTTGTGGTTTTCCAGCCAAATATAAAAAAGATCACACTATCACGCTTGAACTCCATCACGAATAACTTTTTCGCTGAAAATTCTCACAAAAATGCTTCTGCAATATAATGAGCTGTCACTGGAATATTTTTAAAAGGTGTGGGACGAGTGGCTTAGAAATGAGAGCAGTCTGAAGTTGGTTGCAGTTTTTTCATCCCGCCCTGTATTTTACTCTTCGGCATGTTTTCCATTAAATTATATGAAATTTTTCAACATACCTTTATTCCTATGTCTTAGATTCTCCATAGCCCGCCGAAACATATGCAAATTCGCAATGGCAAAATTGCATTGGAACAAAAACAACGAAAGAAACATCAAGAAACTCAACCCCGAGCTGTGTGGGCTCCAGAATGCCACTTGTGTATGCAGCCGATACACGATGTCGAAAGATCGCGCATTGGATGTTTGAATAATCTCTGTAAACTAACGTGTCACATTATCTGCTTGGCCAATCACATGTTATCCTGCGATACAAAGGAGAGGGGTCATTACATACCCATATCGGGAGATTGTCCGCTGTGTGAGACAAATTTGTTATGGATTGATTTGTTGCAACGTAAACGTAAAATGCAAGGAATTCAAGTCGAGGAAGAAGATGACGATGACGAGGATGATGAGGATGACAGTGATGTGGAAATAATAAGTGGCGACGAAGTAGAAAACCTGGAAGATTATGTGTCTAGTTTTTAGGAAATAATATTTTATTGCTATTTTTAAGTTGTAATGGTGTTAATTAAAAAAAAAACATTTTGTTAGCATGTATTCCTTTCTAATCATAAAAATATGTTGTTCAATTTTCTACCGATTATTAAAAATTAAAAAAAAAACTTTTTGAGTTTAACATTTTCCCTAAATTTATTTGAGTTAAAAATTTGTAATTATTTTTTTAGATACTTATCTTAATCAACTAAAACTATACATAATAAAACATACTATGTGTCCTTTAGTAATTTCTTAATACCTGCAACGGTATTTTTTAATTTTTCCAGCTGCTTTACCAGCTCTAGTTTTTCCTTAATATAATAGTCCTTTGACATTTGTACATACTCCTCACCCTTGAATATAAACGATGACACGTTTTCAGCATCGATAAGTTTCTCAGGATTTAATTCGACAATGGACTCCTCCCTGTCCACATTTGCCTCAACCTCTTTAATAATATTTTTGCAGGTGGATGGCTTGTTATCTTCATTTAAATCCAACGATATATAACCATTAGAATCCAATACTGTATACGATGGAATCGAAGAGCTCGAGACAATGCGAATGTTGTTTTCTGCTGGGGTTGGTAGAGTTGTTAATGATTCCGTGTGCTGTAGAAATTTGATTTTATTGCTCGGCACAGATGTTGTGGCCTCCAGATTGCGTATTTTCCTCTTATATGTTTTATTTTCCACATTTGCGGAGCCACTGGATTGACCAGAATTTGTGTGATTATCTTTAGACAAGCCCAATTCCTTGACAATGAGCTGCATATCATCATCATAATTAATGGTTGTTGTGGTCGTCGATTCAACAATTGTGTGCTGTTGCCTTTCTTCTCCTCCCTGGTCGAAGTTGTTATCCTCATCTTTCAAATACCAATCGTCATCGTAATTAACATACTCAACTTTTCCACTGTACTCCAGATCTTCATCATCTTCATTGTCCGATTGGTAGGCATGTGGTATGGCCTCTCCCACCAGTGTTGTTCGCCGGTGTCCAACATTTAGGAAACACTTATCAAAATGATCCGAACAATAAAAATAGTAGTTTATGGGTAAATTGGCTGGGGCCTTTCCCAACTCCAACCACTTTTTTCGTCGTTCGACGTCCTTGGGAAAGGCAAACAGAGTTAGATTGGGTTTACTGCGTGAGGTTTTATCTCCAGTGGTAATGAAATTCTGGCATTTTTTGTACAAGCAATTTCGTACGGACATTTTGTCGGAGGCGTCTGTCTCTCTTTCAAATGTCCTTGCTGGGAGGTGATACCAAGCCGCGCTTTCTTTTTTGTTTGTGCAAATGAGGAGCGCGTGTGACACCAAAATAAAAGACGTTCCCCAACGAACCAAGGCAAACATGTAATGCCTGATAAAAAAAGGACCGAAAGAAAAATCCACGAGATATCCGTTTACGAATGAGTGTAGTGCATAACGCCGAGAAATCTGTTGTCTGTTGTTTACGAATGAGACATGAGGAAAACGACATTAGCTGAACACAATGAGAGCCGCAGAACTAGTTCAAGAGATGACTAGTTTGTGTCAAATGTTAGTGTTGCGTATTTGTCGTTTTCGTTACTTTTGAAATGCATTTTCTACTTGCGAATAACCTATATTGGATTTAATTTTGTGGAGAAACCTCAATATTCCGTTCTAGTTTTTTGGGTGTTCCCCAATTTTATGAAAAAATTTTGAATTTTGAAAAATCATTCGTTATCCTCCGAATGAAATGAAAGAATGAATTGTTATTCACTGAAAAGAACTATGGGAACTAGCTTATATTCTTTTGTTTATTCTAATGAGATGTATTGGGTATGCGCAGAAGCTAATATTGTCAATCACCTGTGTTAATGCGACTACCTAATACTCTGCCTTAAGAGTGATGTAGAAGAATCTTTCAAAGAATACATAACCGATAACCTGTAATCAAAACATTATTAAGTGCATCAAATACGGTACGTGAGCTACTTTGGATTTCGTTGTACATCGCGGATAAAAATTAAATAAATACAATAAATATACAATTTTAATTTGAAAACTAGACCGAGTTTTAAAGTATGTCTGCTGTGGCCAAACCAACGGTACGTAGTTAGGACTCTTTTGAATTACATTTTTTTATGAATTCCTGATGACGTTTCGTTTATAGCCATCAACAAGTGCTGGCAGTAGTTCAGCTAATGGCTCAGCAGCTGCAGCATCGCAACCGGCTCCAGCAGCCAATGTGCAGGAGTTTAAGATACGTGTTCCCAAGAATCTACGCAAGAAACATCATGTAATGCGTTTCAATGCCACCCTCAATGTGGACTTCTCTCAATGGCGTGCCGTGAAGTTGGAGCGTGAAAATAATATGCGGGAATTTAAAGGAGCCGAAGAAGAGATGCCCAAATTCGGTGCTGGCTCGGAATACAATCGCGACCTACGCGAAGAAGTTAGACGTAAGAAGTTTGGTATTATTGCCAAGAAATATAGGCCGGAGGCCCAGCCATGGATTCTCAAGGTTGGTGGTAAAAATGGCAAAAAGTTTAAGGGCATCCGGGAGGGAGGCGTCAGTGAAAATGCGGCATTTTATGTTTTCACCCATGCCCCGGATGGCGCCATCGAAGCATATCCCCTCAATGAATGGTATAATTTCCAACCCATACAACGTTACAAATCTCTCTCGGCCGAAGAAGCTGAACAGGAGTTCGGTCGTCGTAAAAAAGTAATGAACTATTTTTCACTTATGTTGAGGAAGCGCTTGAAGGGTGATGAAGAGGAGGAAAAAGATCCCGAAGAGGTAAAGGTGAAGGGAGCCGGCTCAAAGAAAGCCAAGGAGTTGAAGATTAGCGAAATGGATGAATGGATAGATTCGGATGATGAATCCGATTCGGACAGTGAGGGCGAGGGTGGTGAAAAGAAAAAGAAGGAACTGGACAGTGATGATGAGATGGGCAAGAAAAAGGGTAAAAAGGGCAAGATTGGCGAAAAGAAAAAGAAGAAACGTGACGTAGATGATGAGGCGTTCGAAGAATCAGATGATGGTGATGAGGAGGGACGTGAAATGGATTATGATACAGAATCGAGTGAAGAGTAAGTGTGGCAGGCAACGGGTCAAAACAAAAGTATTAATATTTGTATATTCTGTGTTTTAGTGAACCTGATCCCGAGGCAAAATTGGACAAAGACATGAAATCTGTGGCCGAGGAAGATGCCCTCCGTAAGCTGCTTACATCCGATGAAGAAGAAGATGAGGAGAATAAATCAGACGAATCTGACAAAGATGAGGAGGAAAAGAAAAAGAAGGACAAGTCCAAGGAAGAAAATAAAGAAAAGAAAAAGAATAAAAACAAAGCCAAGGATGTTAAAAAGGGTAAGGTTGAAAATTGCTGGAAAGATCATAAGATGTTATTGTGTTTAATTCTTTTCATTCTGTAGATTCATCAAGCGATTTCAGTTCAGATAGCAGCGATTCCGAAGCAGAAAGCAAGCTTAAGAAAAAGGGAAATTCCAAACCTCCAAGCAAACAGAATTCCCGTTCCGCCACACCCACATTCAATAATGATGCCAATAAACGTAAATTGAATAGCATGCCAGGGGACCTTACCGCTTCCGAAAACAGCAATAGTCCCATTAATACCCCCTCTAAAAGACCCAAAACCGAATCCCTTACCACCTCGCTGCCCTCTACATTTGCCGGAGTGGTTAACACAAATAACAAAGAGTAAGTGAAGCAAACATAAGTGGAACTGAAAATTTTAAATATTTATCTATTCTTTTTACCCCCAACCTAGTGACTATGGCATTACCGAAGAAGCTGTACGCCGTTACCTAATGCGCAAACCCATGACTGCCACAGAATTGTTAACCAAATTCAAGAATAAAAAGACTGGCGTCTCCAGTGATCGTTTGGTCGAGACGATGACACAGATTCTAAAGAAAATCAATCCAGTCAAACAGACCATCCAGGGCAAAATGTATTTAAGCATAAAGGTTAATAAATAGTTGTTTTATCTTCTCTTTTGTATCTATACATAAGTGGCATGCAACAGTTGCGCAATTGTATTTGTGATGGAATTTATTTAAAGCGAATAAAAGAAAATATTTTATTGGAATTTTAATAAAAAAGTTAAATCCACGATATATAAAAAAAAGTAATGTTTGTTGTGTCAAAATAGTCGAAGTTAATGCAATTTTTGTTGCTTTTATAAAAATTACGAAATAGCATATTATTCATATGAATGTTTTTGAATTATAGGGAAAATGTTAAAAAAAGTCTCTTAAAAAATATTCTTTCTTTATTTAAGCATGTTCCGATTAAGTCCTTTTGGTTTAATTTATAGATCTTTGGAAAATATAAAAACATTCTTCTTGACAGTTATTGCTTCCTGAAATCCACCGTTTTACGGACCCGCCAAATTATTTTTTTTTTAAATTTTATTTTATATTTATTTTATAAAAAATAATTTTACTATTCTAATTTTCTTAAAAAGTAGGCAGCTATGTATTTCTTCTTACATATCGAAAAAATATCAATGGTATGGTGGGCGGAGGCTCAATTGAAATGTATGCCCTCGGAATTGAAGGCCAATAAAAGCCGCATAAAATCATCCAAATCCATTGAGCGAGCACGGAAATTATCCATATTCAATTTTGTTAGTATGCCAATTACTTTCTCTTGCATATTTAGATTTTCTTCAATGGGCTGAAAAAATCGAAAATTAATAAACAGTATTGAACTAAATCATCAAATGATCATACATACCATGTTGTTTAGCGATAAATGCAATTTATAATTCTTCTCCAACATTTCCATGACCGAATTCGTTTTAAAGGCCGCTGCCAGAGTTTTGTTTTTACGCAAAAAGGCAATACGCGTCAAACCATCCCATTCTGTGAAATTGACTGGCGGTGGAGGATTTTTCGGCTCCAAACGTACCACACTGGACTCAACCTTTGGTGGTGGCTTAAAGTTATTCTTACCCACTTTCATTAACATATCGACCCTGGCCAAAAGCTGAGTATTTATGCTCAGACGGCAATACAATTTATCGCCAGGTTTGGCCACCAAACGCTGGGCAAACTCCCGCTGAAACATTAAGACGGCACAACGAAACAAGGGGCGATGAAGCAAAAGTTTAAAAATTAGCGGTGAACTTATTTGATACGGCACGTTGGCAATGCACAAATCAAAGAAAGGTAGTTCAGCTTTCAAGAAATCGCCAATTAACATTTGCAGCTTGGGTTGTAACGGTGTGCCTTGGATACGTTTTTGCAATTCTGCAGCCAGTCGAGTATCAATTTCACAGGCCACCACTTTTTTACAACGCTCCAACATTCGAACAGTCATGTTACCCGTACCGGGACCAATTTCCAAAACGATGTCTGTTGGCCTGAGGGCAGCCTTTTCCAGCATACTGGTAATAACCAGGGGATTTTTTAGAATATGCTGGCCGAAATCCTTGTTGAAGACAATACCTGAGTGTGGGGGGCAATGAATACAGGATATTAGATTTGCACTCTCTATGGCGTATTTTTAATAATTACCCTGTTTCTGTACTTCATTGTGTATGCGAGTCTTCTTTTCAGCTTTAACTTTTGGCATTTTGTATTCGTTTTTTAATAATATATTAATATGATTTAATCTATTTAGTTTATAACTTTCCTTATTTTATTGAAAAACCGAGCCATGTGGTTTTGTTTACGTTGATTGTTGACATCCAGTCCACGCACAGTTGTTAATTATGGTACAGCAGTCAGCTGTTTGTCTGCCGTTGAGAAAAAAAGGGGTGCTGTACACTTAATGATTTAGCAATCCATGACCCAATTCCATTTTACAAGAATATATGGCCATAGCAAGTGTTGTTGTACAGCAATTTTAAACAACAACAACAATATGTTGAAAAAGGCGCAAAACGGATTTAGATAAGGGTTTATTTTCATAAGCTTTCCAACGATACCTATATTGTCTATATGGGGTAAGTGGATCTGGGTCTAGTCGGGGTCTTAGACCTGGACTTTCGGGTCAAAAATCTGGGGTCCCGGGTCCGTCCCTCAAGAAAAAAATTCTTTCCCAGGATCAGGGTCAAAATACCCAACTTAAAGGGGTTAAGCCTGACCATTTTGCAACAACAAAATACCCAACTTTTGCAAAAATTTCAAAAAAAAAAATCGAAGAATTTTTACTAAACTAGAGTTAAGACTAGATAAGTTAGTTTGGCTGGGCAGTGAAAGAGGTCCGGCGTTTCATATGACAAATGCTGGGTAGGTGTTCTGAACATTGCTGACTTAATTGTGTCAAAACTACTCAGATTTTTTCCGGTTTTCTCTTCGGCTGCGATTCTAGATTCCTTCTGTGACCACGTCAGAGTGAATACCATTTAGCCCAGCTTGAAAGACCTGTTGATCCAGCGACTCTCCCTTATACCTCTGCACCTCTCTCTCTCTCTCTCTCTCGATCATAAAGGTCTTCCCTTACTTGCCTGGGAGTACTCTTTCTATCTACCAGATAGTGTTTGGAATAGGTCTGTTTATAACACCGAAGCAGGTATTGCATTGCAACATTTTGTTATGCTGTCGCATCGGTAAAACCTTCGCCTCCTCATGTAGATGGTCGACAGGTGTCATGTCCATGTGGGTCTACATTTGGGTACTGCACCTATAAAACGCTAACGCCTAGTTTATGCTATTTTGACGACGTTAGAATGTAGATAGCAACTTTTATTTATAGATGTTTCTTAACTCCAAGATGAAGTTTATTTTGTGGACAGAATATTTTCAATTAACCCAAGGAGTCTCTGGCCAAAAACACAATATATTTTCCCGTTAACAATATTAGGAAGTTGTAAATACTAGAGCAATTTAATATTCATATATCCTCCAAAAAACCTGGCGCCACAATAGATGTCTGAAAATCTCGCAATCACAATAACAACTTACATGTAATCTGCGCATATACCAACAAAAATGTTGTTATTCTTTTTTTGGGGGGAACATTGTTCTCCCCCTTAACAGGCATCTAGTAGAAGTTCATGCATTGATGCCAGCAACCCAACCAATGATGTCATGCGATTCATAAACATACAAACCAATTTATTTTTAATTTTTCTAAATAAGCAGTGTAATTTTATTAAGCATTACATTTATTATGTTTATCCGAAGGCATGTTGCACACAAAAATTTGATCATATGGTTTTTGGAGAAAGTGTAAAAACTTTCCCAAGACAATGCTACACTTATATATTCGAAACAAAATGCATACAGTTTAAATTGAACAAGTATTTGTTTTGGTTATATTGTATAAATAATAATAATAATAAAAAACCTATTTAGTATTATGTCTAAGAGAAATGAAACTGAAAGCTAAGACAGTGATGATGGTGAATACTTTATGAGCATTTACTTAGTCTTAGCATTGGGACTTGTCGATTGGAACACTGATGATGCTGACATCAGATTCTCAATATATTGACCCAATACTTGATTTTCGGAACGTAATTTGAGATTTTCCTCCTTGACCGAGTCAACACGTTGTGACAAATCATCCAAAGTGTTTTGCAGCTCCAAAACCTGTGTAATCAAACGGGCCTTTTCTTCTTTTTCGTCGGGACTTATTTCGGGCTCAAGTGAGTTGTGGGAGTCCGGTGTGGAACTGCGATTGGTAAATGAAGACCTCAACGAGTCCATGGAATGCCCAATGTTATTGGTGTTCTGATGATTGTCATCGTCATGGATTATTACTAGCAAGGCAAGAAAATAATTAAAAAAACTAACTTTTGACAAATCAACATTTTTTGATATCATACCCTGTGGGTCATCGTCAGCCAATGGTATGGGCTCTTGCTCTTGCAATTTATCGATTAGCGACATTTTGATTGTTAATGGTTTTTTTTTTGGTGAATAATTCTAATCAATTCAATGTTTCTGTAAAATATTACTTCTTGGCGTGTTTTTGTTTATAAATGCAATTGTTCTTTTATATTTTTTACAATGGATTTTGCTTATCTTCACTTATGTTTTTTCTCTTGTTTTCTCACTGCAGCCGTACATTCACAATTGCAACAATTAGTAATCACATCATTCACAATAAAATCAAGATACCCAGCAAAGAGTTTAATGACAAATATTTTGTGATTCATGCGTTTTATAATCAAGAGCATAAATATGCTCTGAAATTCCATACTTATAATCATGGTACAATGAAGAGAAGGTAGGTCAACTTTGAAAAAATTGCAAGTATAGAGGTCTACCTGTTTGGCTTGTAATGTCAGAATTATTATCAAAACAATAAAAAAGCAAACAACTTGTTGCATTGATTTTGAATAAATAATTTAAAACCGCGAAAACTGAATGAATGGTCAAAATTTCTTTTCAATATCATGTTCTATATATCTCTTATGGTTTATTTCGCGACAAAAACTGTAGATTTTGTCGATGTATTCGTTGCAATAAGCATTTTGAAAACACCCGAATTTGAATATTTTCTGAACAATTTTTTATTATTGAAAAGAAGACACACACATACGAAAATAAAGTTGACATATTAAGCCAGAAAAATAAAAAAATTTAAATCATATGGTAGTTCTGCCCTACCTTGAATTCATTGTACCATGCTTATAATCATGGCCTACATAAGGTCCGACAATAAGATTACTTTTGACGATAAAATAGTCATTTTCTCGAATTTCTAATCACAACTATGTAGTTTGGCAACAAAGTTAGTAGTCAGGAAATATTTATATTCAGTTTTTTTTTTCAAAATGCTTATTGCAACGCAGGCATCTACAAAATCTACATTTTTTGAAGATTTCGCCGTTTTATATTATTTATTTAAACTCACTGCAACAAGCTGTTTGGTTCTTTTTATTGTTTTGATAGAAATTCTGACATTACAAACCAAACAGACCCCTATACTTGCAATTTTTTTCAAAGTTAGCCTACCTTGTTTTGATTGTACCGTGGTCAGAAGGTTTTTTTTAGCTAGCAGACCTTATAAAGGGTTATTTTTAACCACTAATCTTCAGTTTGGGCTATAATTTAACAAATTTTTGATATTTATAATCAAAAAGTGTGCTCTGTTAAGAAATTTAATCGCGTGCTCTTTCCATTTTGCAATGAAACTCGTTTTTTCCCAAAGAGTACGTAAATAAGAAGAAAAAACATTGAAAAAGCTACGAATACATCCAAAAAATAAATGTTGTGCGGATTATGAAACCGTACTTTTTCAAAGATGTGCGATTCGCAGAATCTTACTATTTAATTTGATTTCTCTTTATGATGAGCGCTACCGTGAGATGATATCGATTTTTTTTTGTCCAAAATGCAAGAGCTTGACTTGCATGACATAAGTTCGGTGGACATTTTATTTCACGTTCGGGACCGATCAATTGACCGTCTAGATCGTGCGATTTAATCCCTTTTTTGGGGCTGTTTAAATGCTCATGTCTATACAGACGAGCCCGCTTAAATTGACGCATTGGAGGACAAACTTTCGTGAGATACCTGTCGTAATGTTGGAAAAAGTATACCAAGATTTGATTAAGCCCATTTGAGGCGCTGTTGCCGTCAACATTTGTATGACCCTATCATAAAACTTTGAATTATGTGGACCGTATTAAGTTCAAATGAAGTGTCAAATAAACCTTTAATTGGGCCATTCGACTTTAAAAAATCAATCCATTTTTTCTAAAATAAATAGATTTTTACAAGTTTTCTTATACAATCGGAGGTTGTTATGATATGCAGTTTTCAAGAATTTGTACAAATTTAAATAATTATTCATTCAACATTTTCAATTACAAATTTGGTTTGACAGTTCATTGTCCCAGCAGCTGTGTCGTCGCGTCTACCTATTTTCTTCTACCATTGTATAAATTATTTGCCTATTCGCTCGTGTTGTAATTACTAGATAATGTCGTATAAATATGTTATTAATTTATTCCAAACTAAACTATTATGCCATTTACTAGTTTCCCATTTAGTTTCACTCTAAAATATACATTCACAATGACTCGTGTGTTGGTTTATTGTGACCGAAGTGTAAAATGTCAAATGTTGAGTATTTGTTATTGTTTGTGCTCCGTAGATAACAGTCAAGTTCATCTCTTGTATTTCAGAGCGCTGCTCTTGTTTCGTGAAAAGAACACAAATATTATAAAAAAAATAAATTCAATTTATAACATAAATACGCGATTTTAGTTTCAATATTAAAAAATCGTAATATCATTCACGTACAACTTTAATCGGCTGTCCAAGGTTTGTTCATTATCTTCTTGTTGATGTTGCTGGTGTTATTGTTTATATGTAGAAATGTAGCACACATAAGGCAAAACATTGTCGTAGGATTTGAAAACTAAATTGTTATATTAAAAATTTCATCAATATAACTTATATACATATAAATTGGTCAAGTGATATATTGTGTTATTAGGATTCATTATTTAGAATGTGTCAAAAGGTGTTGGGGACTTCAGCGTCGTGCCAGACAATCTTTAAATTCGATTCCAGTAAATTTAGCTTTGTGTCATTTTTTAATGTAAATTAATTTATCTTAGTCTTTTCCTTCAGTTTTTTATTGTAAAGTTCCAAACGATGTTGTTTTGCGAAGAGCATACTTTCTAATATAATTAAATCTTATTTTTTTTCTAACGATTTGTGGCAAAAGGAGAACATTTATTTAATTTTAGAAACATGTCTCACTTGAAAAGTGAGCTGAATGAAATATCATGAGAGATGATCCAATGCCAGCTGCCTGAATAAAACTATTATTGAATAATCGAATAAATAGTTTAACCAACCTTTGCTGAAAGAAGCAAATGCATACCAATCGACTTCTGCAATTGCTGTCATTCGGTGTACTTTGGACTAGACCCCCGTATAAGAGGGTATAAAATAAATTGTTTTTCCTTTTATATATATTGTTTTTCCTTTCGTCTTCAGTACATTGCTTCAAATAAAATTAAAGAACCATACATGACGCGTCTGACAGGGAACAATTGAACTGTATTTAGGACCGAGAGCATCCGTTTCCAAAAATAATGTATGGGCTTCGTTGAACTTTCGTACAAATAACTTGAAAAATATGTCATCTTGGAAAATTGTATTTCATTCACAAACTTTATAAATGAGCGCGTGCATCCATTGAAAAGTTGTCATAAAACATATCTGGAACTTATTACTAACTTATAGAAAGAATTTATGGACAACGAACCCATAACTTGATTAAGGATGGTAATATCCACATATAGGAATTTCATTAGAACTATATCCGATTATATATTCTACATCCAGCAGCTGACATTCTTTTAACGAAACCAAAATTAATCCAATTAATCTGGAAAAATGTTAGAAAAATGTGTAAAAATTCCCATAACTGATATCTAATTTTCTTTCTTTCTCCTTTGTTAGAAGGTGTAGTAGAACCTAGATGCTAATAGTCATATCTGGGGTACTGCATTCCCTATAAATCCAGCTATTAATATTTAAAATCTCCTGCGAGATTGCGGCCGATTTCAATCATTATTAATGTTCACAGACGGAGAAAAAATAAAGAATCAAAGGCAGCCTTTATAAACCAAAGATAGAGAGAACAATAAACTGCAGTTAGAAGTATTTTTTTTTAATAATAGTTTAATAAATACACCTTTTCTTTAAAAAAATAACTTTTTAAACAAAAATTTCGAGCAATGCAAGTCTTATAACGAAATTAGTTTCACAACAACAACAATCAGTAGCAACAATCGTATGCTCTCTGATGATTGTTTGACAGAACAACTGTTTCCTCTTTCATGAGATCTCTTGAAGTGTCTCTTTATGCATTGCGGGGAAAAGAGTAGTAGAAAAATAATACCCAAAAAAAAAGGAAAACTTCAAATAACACAAAGTTGTATGATATTTTCATTTATTTACTGTAAATAATAGATTTATATTGATTATATATTATATTTATAGATAAATTAGCTTCAAATGTTGCTTTATTGATGTTGCTGATGTATGGGTATGCAGATGATTCGCTACCAAATGAATGCAACCCTGATTTGCCAAAAACAAAAAAAGACCAAAGAAATAGGAAACAGAGTACCTTTCATTTTGTTGTAAACAAGCAACCGAAGTTCTTAGTGCATAACACAGTTAATAATCAAATAATTGAATACATTATTAATAGATTTTATTATTTATCAATGTGGAGTAAGGTTTTTAACTATAAAGTAAAGTTTTTGAATTGTTTGGTTTTTTAGAACGTTATTCACGATACGCTTTTGTGTGACGTTCGTGGCCGTGTTGGTGGTGGTCGTCGTCGTTTTGTTATTCATTCACAATTACCAACAACAAGAAGAAATCAAAACACACATCCTCACACTAAAATTCGGTCGTCCTCAGTCCAGAAGTTCGCCAAAAACAGGAGGAAAAGCCACACTTCATCAGCACAGTAATCATAATTAGCATTGGGGTGTTAGAACTTCAAAACGAAATGATTGTCTAAATGGAATAAATGTGCAAAAAGTGAAGAAAATAACTAAAGAACTTTAAAACCAAAAACGATTAACCAGAAAAACGAAAAATGAACAGCCAACAACAAACTCAATATTTTATAACAACAGGAGGAGGAGGGATGCCATCAGTATTGGCTTCCTCAACATCTGATCAACGTCTGGCTATAACAACATCTTCTGCTTCAACACCAATACAGCCACCAACGCCATTAATATCTGGATCAAATCCACAATCAATAAATCACAATTTTATTGAAACAAATAAATTTGTGGCCACCACCAGTTATGTTCCCGTCTTGCTGACAAATCAAACTCTAATTACAAATATTGAACAGCCATTGCAACAAAATCAAAATATCACCTCAACTGGTCTAATCAATGTAACAAGTGCCGTAAATCCGGGCAACAATCTTCCATTAATGTCTTCCAATACGGCTGGTGGCGGTGGGGGAAATGTTTCCTATGTTATGACAACGCCGCAGGCACCAAATTTTGCTCCATTGCTAGCATCAGGACAAAATGGTACGGTTAGTGTGCTATTGACTACCTCGACTACACCTGCTGTAGGAGGAGCAGCAGCAGCACCGCCATCGGTAGTCACAACTAATTCAATGGCAACATCTGGTAAGTTGGCAACAATTATGGAAATACATTTTACAAAAAAAAAAAAAAAAAAAAATTAATTCATTACTAACAAATTTGTAGTATTTTCCAAAATGAAACTGAATTTAGTTATGTAATGTAAATAAACTGTAATAATAGTAGGATGTAATTAATATCGCATTGTTACTTATTTCACACAAAACTTATCATGAATAAGAAAAAAAACGTGACATTTGACTGGCACAAAACCTATAGGTACATGATAGATATACACATGTCCCTTACCTTGCCTAATAAATTTATTAAATTGTATTTTTAATCAAAAGAACACAACAATACCAAATCATAATCATTAAAATTGACAACGAGCAAGCATTACATCTTGATCCAATCATTTTCGTATAAATAATATTTGTTTGTTGGCCGCCAACCCCATTTATTGCTAATATTTAATAGTTTTTAGCTTTATTCTATTCAAATTTATTAAAAATTTCTTTCGTTAATTTCATTGTAACCATAAAAATTTGCTTGCAATCGGTCGTTTTAGTTTCATTCGTTGTTCGTTTTCTTCAGTTGTGTGTAAGATATATGTTTTTGTTTTTTAATTCAAAGTGTGGCATTAAGGTGGCCAGGTTGTGATATTTTGAGTCAGTGTTTTGTATATGTTTGTGTATCAGTCATTAAAAGGGTAACAAAAAAAACTAAATGAGTAAAACAAGCAAGTATAAAAGTCTCTTTGGGCCAAATACGTTTTAGGAAATTTGGAAACGATCTAGCGATGTCCGACCGTCCCTCTGTCTGGCTGGTTCGCACGATAACTCTCGAAGGGAGCATCCGATTTGATCCAAACTTGGTACATCATTATTGTCAAACTTAGATCAAGTTCGGAGATGGGCAATATCGGTCCACGCCTTCTGGCACCTCCCTCACAAAATATCAATAGTTTCAAAGAAAATAATTTACTGCACAAAAAGAGAAAGGATAATCAGTTTTGCTTAAAATTTGCGAATCCAAATATTTGCATCAGTGCTAGGTTAGGTGCGAAAGTGGACAATATCGATCCATTCCATCAAGTACCTCCCCCACAAAGGGTCAAATTTTTAATAATTTAATGTAATGTAAATCTCCGATTGTCTTCAAATTATGCACATCACAATATTGTTATTTACTCAAGGTCTGGTGTGAAGATGGAATATATCCGTCCACTCCTTCTGGTACCTCCACCACCAAGGGTCAAAGTTTTGAATATCCATGAAGCTCATAAAACACGAAATTGATATCCGATTCCTTTCAGATTTAGCACATTTCAATATTTCCATAAAAACAAGAACTGCAATAAAGATTGTAGAGATCGGACCATTCCTTCTGCTACCTCCACCACAATGGGTAAAAGTTTTGAATAACCAAAACAATCGTAAAATCCGAAATAAGCATCCGGTTCTCTTCAAATTACACACATTACAATATTTTTATTGACCCAAGGTCTGGTGTGAAATTGGGATAGATCGGTCCACTCCAAAATTTTGAATATTCACGAAGCTCAAAAGGGAAATTAACATGCAATTCCATTCACTCTTGGTACATCTCAATACCAACACAAGATCTGTTATAAAGATGGTAGAGACGGGACCATTTCTTCTGGTACCTCCGCCACATGGAGTTCAATATTTTTAAAATTAAAACGCTCAAAGAAAGCGAGATAAGCATCCAACTCTCCAAATTTCACACATCCAACTGTTTTTGTTAACGCAAGATATGTTGCGTAGATGATATATATCTGCCAACCCCTTCTGGTATCTCACCTACAAAGGTTCATGATTTCCAATACTTATATCTGTCATAACTTGGGAAACAAGTCGGCGATTCTTTACAACTTGCTATATCTAAATATTTCTCTTAACCAGATATCTGATATGAATAAATGATTTATCGAAATTTATGATTTCGCATAAAATATGGATATAAATGTTCGATTCCCTTCGACACTTTGGTATTTTTTAGTGTTTTCCAAAATACTCCAGACACATTAGTCCAACGGATTGGTATAAGAAGATTTTGGTGGCCATTGTGCGCAGGAAATAAAGCGAGGAACCTCATTTTGAAACCATTCTTGGGTGGCGCGTGCTCAGTGCGATGATGCTGAGTCCTGTTGGAATGTCCAAGGTCTGCGTCGAAAATGTTTGTGTACCCAAGGCTTTAATATACTCTCCACAATATTTTCGCGATAATATTCGGCATTTATTCTGATGTCACGGTCAATTAATACGAGCGGGGAGCGACCATCGGCTGTTATGGCGGGCCACACCATAATCATGGCCGGCTCTTGAGTTCTGGTGGCCAATCGAAGGTGCACATTTTCAGCGGACCTCTTTGGCAAGTAAACACGATCATTTTGTTTGTTTACAAACAAACGAATGTTTTCTCATCGGCAAAAAAAACAAATTCTGACAGTTCCCTACTTTCGGCCGAGTGAAGCAACTCTGTAGCTCTTGAGTTTATTTTCTACCTGTTGCGGTTAAAAGTTCTTGCACTTTTTTGGAATTTCAATGGATTTACCCCGATCTCATTTGTCAATATTTACACGAATGGAATATTGCAATATGTTCAACTCACGAGCCATTTTCAAGTCGCTTCTTTACTTTTCGAACCATTTCTGTTGATGTTGCTGTTTTCTTCCGTCCACTTCCTTGACCTCGGGATACCCTATCAGTATCACGGTAACGAGTGATGGTACGAGAAACAAACGATAGCCACTTCTGGTTTTCCAACCAAAAATAAAGAAATCACACTATCACGCTTGAATTCCCATTCATCACGATTAACTTGTTTTCTGGAAAATTCTCACCAAAATGCTTTTAAACAATATGGAATAATTTTAATAGCTCGGACGAGAGGCTTAGAAATGACAGCAGTCTGAAGTTGGTTGCAGTTTTTTTCATCTCACCCTGCATAAAGTATAGGAAGTAAGTAAATGCCATCGCCGCCCTTTCTGGCAGATGATTGGCTGTAAATGTCCATGTTTTCCTGTAGCTCAATATAACAGTAACACTTGATATTCGGAATTTTTAAAATTTTTAGCGACATATTTCAATGGAATTTCTTTTTCTTTTACCAAATTCCGTCCAAATAATGGAGGGTATTAAAAGTTCAGGTCGGCTTAGTTTCCTTTTTTCTCCTTTCTTCTTGCATATGCTTGGTTATTAAATCCTCAATAAAATAATGAATTATCACCAAACTTACTCAACTCCCCATGCATCGCCGCGACGATGTCGTTTATGTTTGTGTTTTTTTTTCACCGATATGGTCACCTCTTTGTTTTGGTTTCATTCCCAATTGACTTGTACATTGATGATCATGTTGTGTTGCGTTGGTTGGTTGATTGGTATCCGTCTATACTTAAGGTGTTTATTTTAAGAAAGGCACTGTATTCGTTTGTTCTGCTGCTTTAACGTAATTTTGATAATATTCTCTTTAAATTAATAATATGACATGGTTATATAAATTACATTTTTTAATAATTTTTAATATTTGTCGTTTTTAGGTCATGTTGCAGCAGCAGCTCCGTCATTTATAATACGTAACAACGCATCGACACAAATCAAAACTCAGCACCAGCAACAACAACAACTTCACAGTCAAGGTTTTAATGCAACAACGACAACTAAACAACAATTGAATCTAAACAAACAACTGCAAATTAATGCTGCAAACTCCTTAAATGCCAACAACATCAATATGGCCACAACTCTGGCTCCTGGAACCACATTATTAAAGACATCCTTATTACAAGGCTCCAAATCGAATGCAACGCCGCCTGCCACTCTCCCAAACAAATTGGGCAATAAGGCCATGCCTCCCATACAGCAACAACAACAACAACACCATTCACAATTGCAAAAATCCAGCATGAATACCATCGCCACCAATCCCTCCTCCCAGTCCATACTGGTGAAATGTGATGTTCAAAATCACCCTACCCCGGCGGCTTCATTGATTAGCCAGACAGTACAAAAACTCTCACAAGTTAGTCTTTTGCAAAATTCTCAGAAAAGTAAGACAGGAAATGGTGGCATTGGCCACACTCAGGACATTATTACAAAATCATCATCTTCGAACAGAGTTGCTGCAACAAGAGAAAACCTTAATGAAAACTCCGGGAAGGCCCATGAAATTAAAGTGGGTCACTTGAGTGCCGAAGTCTATTTGATTAAAAAGCCAAATCTCAGCAGCAACCAAAATGATCACGCAAACAAAACATCAAACAAAGATTTCAATTCTTTGTTAAAGCCACCAGTTGTGGCCGCCAATGATAGCAAGAAAATAAAAAGGGATTTGGCACCAGCATCAATAAAATCCAGCAACAACAAATCTAGTGAAACAATGGAAAAACAAGAATCGCTGTTAAAAAACAACAGCACCAAACAAAATGTTTCAAAATTACCTCAAAACGTGAGCCCGCGCAGTCAACGTTCCCAGTCATATACGGCAACAGCAACCACAAGTTCAATTACAATCAGTTCGGCCAATGAACGGCGACACTCGGAACCGGCAAAACTTGAAAAGATCATTGATTGGAAGGAAAAATTCAACAGCAACAAAAAGAATCCAAATGTGAGACCACCTCTAAAAGAGGAATATGAAGAGGAGGAATATTTGATTAGTTCAGGAGAGAAATCAGATAGCAACAAGAATTCCCAAGAACAAGCCAGTGAGCCAAACCCAGAGACTGCTGATCCAGGGGAGGATGATGATGATGACGATGATGTTACCATACTGCCGGTAGATGACTCCTTTACCGAACCCATTGAAATTGATGATGACGATGACGAAGAAGTAGCCGATGACAACATGAAACCCACTGCTATGGCCAACAGCCCCTCCCCAAAAGATAAAAACGAATCATTACTGTGTGACGAACAGATTTTAATATCCTCCTCATCTTCCATTTCCAATCAGTCATTGGATTCCTCTACAAAAAATTCCCCCAAATTCGAAAGAAATACAACACCGGCCGCCGTTGTCTCTCCCATCCTTAAGAAATCGCTAACCGAACGCAAACAAATAGTCAAAGAAGAACCAATGTCTTCATCTTCATCATGTTCACCAACCAATAATTTCTCAGCAGTCTTAGAGATGCTTTCCAATTTTAATATGCTAAACTGGAGAGAGCGTTTGGGCACCGGTCGGGGTACGTCCATGAAATTCGAATTGAATGAGTTCAATTTGTTGCAATTACACGAGAAAATACCCACGCGCACCAAAAGCTATGCGGCCTTTGAGAAGCCGGTCTATGAAAGGGATGCCTTGCATGTGCGATCCGAGGATGAGGGGCCACTGACATACTATACCTGTAGGAAATGTAAGGTTCGAGCCTCGGCATTGGATTTCTTGGCACCAGGTGAGAACAATAGGATCTTAATTCAGAAGAGGTTTCATGGGAGAACAAGGAACCCATAAAGCCCAGCTTTTTTTTTTCAAAAATATATTTGCCTTCTGATTTTCGATTAAATCTCCATATTTCATTTCAGAATACTGTTCAATTCATTGCTTGAAACGGGACTGTCGCAAACGTCAACGCGAAGAAAGTGTCAGCATTTTACGTAAAAAACAACGTAATGCTGTGGCCAATGTCAATCCCCCACCTTTGGCGTACATCAATCAACCGAAATTCCGTTGGTCCAATTATTTGAAGGCAAATTACACGGCAATGGCAGCGCCCATATCGCTATTTCTCAATCCCTTCCCAACGGGTCCGAACAACTTTAAAATTGGCATGAAACTTGAGGCCATTGATCCGGAAAACTGTGCATTGTTTTGTGTGTGTACGGTCGTTGATATTCACGGCTATCGTCTAAAGCTGAGCTTTGATGGCTATGACAATTCCTATGACTTTTGGTTGAATGCCGACTCAATGGATATCTTTCCGCCCGGTTGGTGTGCCAAGACCAATCGTATTTTACAGCCACCCAAGGGTATTAGCCCGGCGAAGTTTAATTGGCTGAACTATGTGAACAAGGAAAAGGCCCTGGCTGCCCCAAGGCATTTGTTTACCCACTTGAATTCGTCTTCCCTTACGCCCAGGAATCCATTTCAGGTAAATTGCGTTTTTTTTGGTTTTCGCAATTCATTTCAAATTATTTTTGTATTGTTTGGTTAACAGATTGGCATGCACTTGGAAGCTGAGGATTTGAATGATACTGGAAAACTGTGTGTGGCCTCGGTGGCCGATGTCTTAGATGACCGCATACGTATACATTTCGATGGCTGGGATGATTGTTATGACATCATTGTGGACATCAATTCACCCTACATTCATCCATGCGGTTGGCATGAAGGCCGGCAACAATTGGTGGTGCCGCCGGACTGTGAAAATGCCGCCTTCAGCTGGCAAACTTATATACGCCAGCAGGGCAGTGGTCTGGTGGCAAGTGAGGAGATATTCTCTCCCCGGGAACCAATCCACTTCAAACCAAACATGAAACTGGAAGTGGTCGACCCACGCAACTCCTCGTTGATACGGCCAGCCACAGTGGTTGCCCATAAGGGTCATCGTGTAAAACTGCATCTGGATGGCTGGCCCAATGACTATTGTTTCTGGTTGGAAGATGACAGCCCCGATCTACATCCCATTGGTTGGTGTGATGCCACGGGGCATGAGCTGGAACCACCACCAGGCTTCCAAATGGGCAGACAAAAAATGCCCTGCCCCACTCCCGGCTGTCGAGGAATTGGCAATGCCAAAAAACCATTCATGAATGTTCATGCCACACGAGATTGTTGTCCTTATGTGCCGGAAAATTGGCGTATTGTCATGGAAAAACCTCCTCGGCTGGGTTACGACGAAATTGTGCGGACATTACTAAAACCACAAAACAACAAAGGTAATAGCCATCAAAGCTTGCAGCCACGATGGAGTGATCAGCAAATCTTGGAACATTTGCAAATATTGGATAACATAAAACCCCACAGTGTACAAATGGCGACTCAAGAAAAGATCTCGCCAGCGGCAAAAGATTTAATTGGCATTTCTTTGGTCAATGTGAAACAAGAAGAAAACAAATGCAACCCCTCCTCCACCTGCGCTGCATCCATAAACAAGAAAACCATTGACTTGATGACACCGCCCCTTCAACTGCATCTTGAAATTGCCAAAGAATTTCTATGCGACTATGGACCACGACTACAGAATAGCTACGAAGTATGGCAAAAGAATTTCACATTCGACACCAGCAAAATCAAAAGGAATCCCCTGACTTGGTCCGTCTCGGAGGTGGGGGTATTTGTTGACCTGTATTTGAATTGCCACCAAACGGCGGCCCTATTCGCCCAAGAAGACATCGATGGCCAGGCATTTTTGCTCTTACAACAAAGTGATTTAACAGAGAGATTGGGCCTAAAGCTGGGGCCCTCGGTTAAGTTATATGCCTGTATATTACAGTTGCGTACCTTAGCTGTGACCAAATTTAAGGCAGCATATCACAAAGCTTCAGTGAAATGAACGGCATTGACACATCATTAACTCAAGAGTGAGATCAAATGTGGTTCACAATGTTGTGCTATTAATCGAAGCGGCCATATGTTTGTTAATATTTTTCAAAAGTCTTCTCTTTTAAATAATAATTTAAGTAATGGTTATGTTTGTTTGACTCATCTTTCATCTTCTTCCTTGATATATATTTACCAGTAGTAATAGAGTTGTTATATAAGCTTTTTTTATTTTTACGATATAGTTTCGTAAACTATAACCTTTTTTCATAGATTGTAAGTACCTACTAAAAAAACAACTACAGGGTTTATCCTGTAACAAAAAAAAAAAAAAACAATTGGAAACGATTCAATAATAGAATGAACTAGAAAGTAAAAAATAATAAAAGAAAAAATACTGTACATAAATCTAAAAAGAAGGTACACATACATTTCAAATATAATCATCTAATATGAATATAATATTGATTAAAATAAATCCTACATTTGTTTTCGTTTTATTTTGTAATTTGAAGAAAGTACTACCAGGCACAGCTAACGCCCGACGTACAGCACAAATGTTACTGCGCCACTATGTTACAATGTATTACCTTTTAAAAGATATGAACCTTATCTACAGGGTGGTATAAAAAAAGTGCAGCAAAGTCAAACGCCATAATTTTTACATTTTTTTATTTTTATTTATTTTTTTTTTTTTTTTAATGAAAGCAAAAAATGTCGAAAATAGCATCAAATTTAAGAATTAGTTTGGATTTGTTCGAATTGGTCACCTTTGTCACGAATTATGGCCTTCAAACAGCCAATGAAACCGTCCCACGCTGCTCGAATGTTGCTCTGCGGTATTTTGGCCCGTTCCCGGCGAAGCGCCTGCTTGAGGTGATCGACACTTTGGTATTTTTAGTGCTTTCCAATACTCCAGACACAATAGTGCAACAAATTGGTATCCGGAGATTTTGGTGGCCATTGTGCGCTGGAAATGAAGCGAGGAACCTCATCTTGTAACCACTCTTGGGGGGCGCGAGCTGAGTGCGATGGTGCTGAGTCCTGTTAGAATGTCCAAGGCTTGCGTGCCCTAGGCTTTAATATACCCTTCAGAATATTTTCGCGATAATATTCGGCATTTATTCTCATGGCACATCGATTAATACGAACGGAGAGCGACCATCGGCTGCTACGGCGGCCCACACCATCACCATGGCCGACGCTTGAGTCCTGGTGGCCAACCGAAGGTGCACATTTTCAGCTGACCTCTTTGGTAAGTAATCATTTTGATTGTTTACAAACTGTGGGACAACGAATGTTTTCTCATCGGAGAAAACCAAATTCGGTAGTTCACCACATTCGGCCAAGCGAAACAACTCTTTAGCTCCTTTGAGTCTATTTTCTTTCGTTTCTGTTGCGGTGTAAGTTCTTGCACCTTTTCAATATTCGCCGAATGGAATATTGCGATATGTTCATGGCAAAATTAAAGAGGTAATCTTATTTGTCAAATTTGTAATGGCAAGCCTTTTTTAGAATTGGAACTTTTCTACGATTTTCAAATTGTTATTTAAAACATAATTCCGTAAATATTTTCGCAAAACAAGTGACATCCATTTCATTTTGTAAAATGAAAAAATAAAGACCTAGTTTATGGGCTGCTGTAACATTAGACCGAACTTCTTCAAAGACTCCGCCATGGTAGAATTAAGAAGGTAAAGTCATGCAATCATATGTTTACAATTTTTTTCTTAAAATTATTCCTTTGACAACTTGTGGACTCCGCAAATTGTAAGATAACTATGAATGGTGAAGAATACAGGCAGATGTATCAACGCTTGGGAACATTGCTATGTCAAAAATTTGCCATTAACGATTTGGAAAATTGGATTATTATTAAATATTTTTCTGGTTTACTGATACCATTGTTTTTTTTTTTTTTTTTTTTTGCTAGAGAATAAAAATGTTTAGCATTGGCATTGAATAATTCCACTCATTATTAAATACAACTCTGAATCTTTAAAATAATTCAAATTCTCAACCGTATTTGCAACCCTGCTCGTGAAACGAACACAAAGTGTCATATTCCTCTAAAATACAACTCTGGTCCTTAATCTATTACCATTTTTCCAGCAGTGTATTCAAGCAGTCTTGTTCTGTGTGTTTTTTATTTGGTAGTAATGCCGATTAGATTTTCTTGATGTGTGTTCCCTATTTATCGGGTTATTTTAACACAATTCTAGCTTATAAAATATAACAAATCGCAGAACAAAAACAAGCATTGAAATAAATTTAATTACAAAAAAATTTAATAAATAATGTGACATAAAAAGGCGCAGTGGAAGTGTGTGTGAGTGTAAAAGAAGACGAAAAAAAAACTTGAGAGCAAATACCTACCAAAGTGACACAAGTAGTGATTACTCTTACGTTTTGTACGTACAACGACGACGGCGACGAGAACAGGCAGCATTTTCTTTCCGCGTTTCGCTTGCCATATTATTTCGCCTCATTTTTATGAGGTAGACGAGTGAAGAAAACGAATAAAAGTCGCCATAAAAGTGTATATATAATATTGTATTAAAGAATTTCAATTGGCAAATTGTAAAGAAAATCGCATAATTGTGTAAATTTGTGTGGTAAAGGCGTTCGTTTGGCTGTTTGTTTGCGGTGTAGCGCACATCGATTGCCGAGTTCCCACTGTGCGTTGCTGTACTTCTAAAAACATCAACATCACTCACATCTGACAAGGGTTTGTGTTGTCTTGTCTCGCCTATCATTAAACGAACTTTCGAAAAGATATTCTATTTTGGATATTTACCGACTGGATTCATTTGGTAAAATTTAGTATTTTTCAAAAGGTAAATAAATATAGTGCTGGCTGTTTGCGATTTGTTTCTTTTTAGCATTCTTTTCTTTTGTGTTGTGTTTTGCATAGAGTGAGGTTCACAGTGTTACCCTACTGACGGCATTACTTAATGGGCGCTTTGTGCCTTGCTTTTGGGATTGCTCTGTGTTGTGCGAACGTACACCTTTTTCTGTATTTTGTCCATTGCGAGTCTTGTTGGTCTCACTCATTATCGTGAATGCTAGTCGTTGTGGCTGTATTTATATATGTATTCGTTGTTGTTTTTTGTGTAGTTGTTGTATTTCTACTTGCGCATCGCAACGGCGGGAAAAATATTTTGTAAGGTGGCCATACCTCTGTAATGGTTTTTGACAACCCAACATTTGTGGATTTTCTTCTTTTTCGTAAAAGGGCAAACAAAACAAATGGGTAAATGGTTCGTTCGTTCAGTCAGTTCATATGGAAAGGAAAAAAGGAGGGAGACAATAATATTCATATGATAATTTTAATTTCACATATGAAATATATATACACAAAAGTTGTAATTAAAATGAGAAAAAAGTTATATTTTATAGGAATTTTATGTCGGTGGCAAAGAGAGAGAGAGAGAGAGAGAATAGTAGAAAAAAATAATTTTATTTTTTGTTGCTGCATAGAGGATGGAGCTAGTCTTCTTTTAAAATAATATCAATTTATTGCAAGTAATTATGGACTAACTCATACAAACCAAACAAATCTGGTTTAAGAAATTGATCTTGATCTATGGGGTAGTAATGTAAACATAGTCTTGGGCGGCATCACTTTGTGTAAAGTTAATAGAAATGCAAAAATTCAATAGCCTAGAATAGCGCCAATTTTCGCAATGGATTAATGTGGACAGACCCTATATTAGATTGATAAGGCATGCGGCACAGCTGCCTTAGATCCATAATGTAGAAGAAGGAAGAATAATAGTTTAGGTATGATTCTTTACCGAGTCATAGAGGTTTTATTGATAAATTTGTAAAAATATAATTTCAGACCAATCCTATTAAGAGAGAAAAGGGGGAGGTCATCTGTTTGTGTAAGGCCTAATAGTCCCCGAGACTGGATTCTTGGTCCATGAATATTTGAAATGAAAAATTAATTTAGGCCCAGGAGGTGAATACCCTACAATCGGGCGTTGTTTACGATTAATAACGAAGGAAAGAATGTAATTCTGGGTGGAGACCTCCGTTTTCTATAGAAAACCTGGTGGAGACCTCCGTTTTCTATAGAAAACCTGGTGGAGACCTCCGTTTTCTATAGAAAACCTGGTGGAGACCTCCGTTTTCTATTGAAAACCTGGTGGAGACCTCCGTTTTCTATAGAAAACCTGGTGGAGACCTCCGTTTTCTATAGAAAACCTGGTGGAGACCTCCGTTTTCTATAGAAAACCTGGTGGAGACCTCGAATAGATCTCTTTGCGTCTGGTTTTTGATTTAGAGGCCTTCTGAAATATGGAAGACAACTGGGAAATCCTCTACACATGGAAGATCTCTGTTTTTTTTCTTTTCTTTCGAAGCGCAATCTATAGAAGGAGAACTATTAGCTGGCCTTAAAAGATAATATACATGTAGCACAAAAAAACAAACTTTTTCTGCAGTGTTTCTAATCAATAATCTCTCCCTTTTCTATTTCCAGTTAATGTTTAATTATTGCCATTTCTTCACCCATTTGCTGTATAATTTGACACGAACATGGAGGAGATATCAAGTTTAGATTCATTTCAAACTGACGAAGCAAATTCTTCGCTACGCCCCGAATCGGAGACGACGACGCAACAATCTGCTGCCGGTGGTGGAGGTGGTGATGCTGCAGACGGCAAAGAAGCAGCCGCAGCGGCAGCACAAGAGGAACCTGTAACAGAAAGTGGCGAAACAGCCAAGGATAATAATACGGCGGGTGAAGATTTCGATCAAATATCCGAGGGTACATTTGAGGTTGACGAAGATAATTCACAGGCCACATCGGCTGGTGGTGGGGGCGGTCAGCAGGATCAACAGCAGCAGGAGGAAAATACAGAAGACGGTGGAGAACATACAGGAGTAGAAGAAGCGACGGGTGGCGATGAGGGTGGTGGTTCCAATGATAACACGGAATCACAAAGCTTTGAACAATTCGATCCAAATGTGGCCACAACAAATGCAACAGGTGGTGAACCGGATGAATCGGATATGTTGGGTGAGGCTGACAACACTTTGCCAATAGCACAAAATAACGAAGAGGGAGGCGAGGGAGATGGCGAGGCGCAAGGGGAGGAAGAAGGAGGAGAAGGTGAGGAATCCTATGATCAAAATGCCATGGATGTTGATGATCATGCCGGCGAAGATGATAATGATGATCGGGAGAAAAACACAAACGATGTCGACGATCAAGATGACGAGGATATGGAGACCCTGCAGCAGGAATGTGATGAAGAAGAAAAATCACAAAATGAAAATAATGATGAGGAACCCAAAGAAAATGCAGCTGCCACAGATGCAACGAATGATGGCAACAATGATAAGGCCAAGGAGGCGGGAAATACCGAAAACAATGATGCCGAAGATGATGGTGCGTTACCGAAGATGATGGAGATTTGATTTGAGTACCCAAAAACTATTAATATTTGTATCTTTTGTAGTGGAAAATGTACAAGAGCCCGAGGAATCGGATGTTTGCCTAATACCCGATGATACCGAGTCCACTGTTACCGATGCCGAAAAGGAACAGGCCATATTGGCTCGTGAAAATGCCGAAAAGGATACCCCAGAAAATGCAAAAGAGAATGATAAAGAGGCGGAGGAGGGGGGCGATGCCACTGCTGCTGCGGTAGACAAGGAAAATGAAGAGGAGGATGCCACGGAAAAATCAAATGTACCCGAATCAAATGGTAAGTTTCCTTAACATATGTATAAAAAAACGAGGAGAAGAGGAGGTTATTACAAGCTTGTGGTGTAAAGACAGAATACCTATGATGGAGTTTTTAACTTTAGCATCTATCTCTTCTCTCCCTATTCTTCTGTATTTATTTTTTCTCTTTTGCCAAAGCTCAAGCTACAAAAAAAGCTGGAGCTGAAGCCGAAGTAGTGAATACAATGAATAAAGAAAATCAAGAAGAACGTCTTGAAGATAATCAAGGTAATCTTTAACGGGAGATTCCCCCCAACACGCTTTTTACGTAAATCCTGAGACCGAAACTTCCAAAGGTTTCTCAACATCTCCACCTTCTTGTAACATGTTTTTCTTTTTTTAGAAACGAATGCCGTCGATCCCGAAGAACCCCTGCTGGAGGAGATGCACAGTACCAGCGAGACGGGTAGTAGTACAAAAACCATAATATCCTGGATTGTCACAACCCTCAAGACCTGTGCCCAATGCAAAGAGGAGAAAATGTGCGGTTTTCGATTCCGCTACCCCGAAACCACCGAGGTGGCGTACCTTTGTGACCAAGATTGTTGTACGGCATTTTTAGATGCCAATACTGGCAAGTATTTTATAAGGCGTAAAAAATTCCTCGTTGAAGAACTCAACACGAGCAATGAGAGCGACAAAGACGATGAACACACATGCCTGCAGTGCAAAGAATCAAAAGCGTGTAAATATTTCTTCAAACAAGACGAAGACACCTTTTACGTTTGCAACGATGACTGTTTTAATCTGCTGAGTTCGGAGGAGCCGGATAAGTTTAAATTGAAACGTCATTCCATACGCGTTCGCAATATCGGAGCCACTACCATATCCAATGATAATGGTAAAAAATCCGGCAGCTCAGAGTCGCGGGTTGTGGCTCGCACAGGGGCCGAAGCGGAGGCAGCCAGACTCGAAAGAGCAGCCAGTTTTGTGCGGCGTTGCGCTGATTGTTTTTCGGAAATCACCCTGGGCGACAAGAATCTGATGTGGGAGACAATGGATTTTTGCAATGAAATATGTTTGGGCAAATATCAGCGCACCATTGGGGCCAACTGTCAGACATGTCATGGTGATGTGCCGCATCCAGCCCTGGGTAAATACTGTGTACGTTTCGGCTTTGATATACGACAATTCTGTTGTGCCGCCTGCCTAAATGAGTTCAAGAAGGGTTTGAAAACATGTTCCTGCTGTCAAAAGGATATTTCGTCGGGCAACGAGGGATTCCTTGCCCCCGTTGGAGACAAGGAGCAATTTAAGGATTTCTGTTCTCAGGCTTGTATGCGACGCTACGACAGCATTGCTAATCCGAAAAAGAAGCTGCGTAATGACATTTGCGCCGTCTGCAACAATGACAAGCCGGTGCGTGTTGAAATCATCTTGGATGACAAGGAACACAATTTTTGTTCGAATCCCTGCTTTTCAGCCTTTAAATTTGTTAGCAACATTGTGGCCGATCAATGTGGCATGTGTTGCAAGTATTTCGAACGCAAAGCCACGGAATCCTTTACCATCTACTCGGAAAAGAGGGCCAAAGTGTTTTGTACTCGTGTCTGTTTGAATATTTTCATTGTGGTAAATCGCCGTATTGTCTCCTGCCAATGGTGCAAGGTGAAGAAATACAATTTTGATATGATTCTAAAGCAACAGGATAATCAGGAGATACAAATGTGCTCGTTAAATTGTCTCACCCTTTATGGGGTATCGATAAATGCTTTCTCGCGCACCGTCACCAAGTGTGACAATTGCAATACGATGGCCACGCCTCAATATCATTTGACCATGTCCGATGCCTCAATGCGTAACTTCTGTACATATCAATGTGTTATGCAATTTCAAAGTCAATTTGCCCGGGCGCCACTCACCCTGGAAAGTGATAGTAATGCAGCTTCTACGAATGTAAATAGCAGCGGTGCGGCCACCAGTACGAATCAAAAGTCATCGTCAACGTCCGGGAAACACAGTGCACCCTTCCCAACAGGTTTACCCAAACGTGTTAAACTAAAAGGAAATCAACAGCAAAAAGGTGGAGCTCATGTAAGTACCTACAAATTTTTTTATTTAGTACCCACCAATAAATGTGTATATACACAAAGAATGGGAACGATCACAAGTTTATCCATCCATTTGGAATTTTGGCTTTCTTTAAAACCGCCCGCAATCGCATTTTTTCCTTTTGGCCAATAAGGCACTGTAAAGGCTAAGGCAACGCGCAATAAGTAGCTTAGTATTCCGCAAATGTAGCCTTTTGAATTTTTCACATTAAAGCTGAAGCTTGTCCCGAACAGATTCGTTAAACCCAAAAAAAGGCACATTTTCTTTCTTATTTTCATTGTTTACTTTCCGGTAGTTGCTCTCTCACCAACTCAATTGGGAGAGGTGTTACTACTCTCACTTTTTGAATGTAAATTTATGTTATTGTTTTAGACGCCTAAATATACAAAAGAGAACGTTATTTTACATATGCCTTATAATTTATTCTTATATTCCTTTCCAAAAACTAAAATAAAAATGAAAATATATAAACCACCTATGTTATCCTTTATCTGTGCATTGCACATCATTCTCCAACCAAAAAAAAATGTTTGATTGGCAACCCTTTGATAATTTGTAGTAGATCAGTTGACAAACAGCTGTTGTCCCTTTCACTCCCTCATATCGATACTTTTTAAACGAACTTTCAAATAGAGTTTAGCTCCAAATTAGAATATTGTTTTTTGTGATTAGCTTTTTTTTTATCGCAATTCTAACCGTTTTTATAAATGTCTTCCTTAACGAAAAAGATGAAATTACCTTCAAAACAGAACTCGGCATCCAAACAGAAACTGCCCACAATGCCGGTAATATCAACAGTGTCCTCATTGGCCAGCGGTGAAACTGAAACAATGATTGGTAATGTCACTGTGAGACGTACTCGAATAAGAGGACGAAAGACCGACTCTCCAACGCCGTCTGCCTTACCGCCAACACCACCTCCCCAGGTGCTGGCGAACAATCAGCAAAATCAAAGTCAGCCAGTGTTGGGTCGTAGACAACGCAAAGCGGCAGTAATTGATAGATCACTGACACCATCACCACCTCGATTGGCAGCACTGAGAAAAAGTGAGCGTGGGAGCACTGCCAGCTCTTCAACAAGTACAACCCCAGCCTTATCTGGTGGCAATGTTGGTGAGAAAGTTGTGGAAAAGGTATCCGTACAAACCGAAACTAAAATTGTGGCCGTACCTCCGTTGCCGCCTGTTGTGCGCAATGTCCAAACCAGTTGTAAGCCACAAACAATAACTGTCGGTTTCCAAACCGAGCCCAAAACCAATACAGTGGGCACTCAAACCGATAAGGACTATTCGAATAAGGTTTTAATACCTGTACCCGTGCCCATATTTCTACCACAACCTATGTACATGTATTCGGCACCCTTCCCCGTACCAGTTCCTATACCCCTTCCCATACCAGTGCCCATTTTCATACCGACTACACGTAACTCAGCTCAGGGTATTATGAAGGAAATCAAAAAGATTCAAGATAAAATGCCAGCCGATCCATTTGAGGCAGAACTGTTGATGATGGCCGAAATGGTGGCCGAGGAAAAACGGGAATCTGATTCAGATTCGGAAGATGAAGTTAAACCAGATCCAGCCGTTGTATCGTTGCAATATAATAACAGTGTGCAACCGGTTGATGTTGCCAATAACTCATATGGTGAAGATGTGCTGCAAATGGCCCTTAAAATGGCCACGGGAGATTATGATCAACCCACTAGCACCATTGATTTGGAATCGGCAGTGACGGCAAACACAATTACCAATCCTCCGCCGGGTATAGTGCAGCATGATGATTCCATGTCACATATGAGTGGCCATCATATGCAACAGCAGCAACAGGCCCACCACATTATGGATGCCCAAAGGTAAGATGAAAAACAAAAGAAAAAATAGATTGAATTGATTTACAACTTTGGCCTTTTCTAGGGGTGGTCGTGGCCGCAAGCGAGGTGCTGTTGTGTCCCTTGTATCGCCACGCAATAGCCGCTCCCCCGTCAAGCGACAACGTATCGACGAAATGGAACCATCACCGCAGCCGCCGCCACAACCCATGCAACCGGTGGAAAAGCCCGATGCCAATATGTGTTTAAAATTCACATTCGGTGTTAATGCCTGGAAGCAATGGGTCATGACCAAGAACGCCGACATTGAAAAGAGTTCCATGCGACGACGTCCATTCAAGACCGAATTACTGCAAATGACAGCCGATGAGCTAAACTATTCGCTGTGTTTGTTTGTCAAGGAAGTTCGTAAACCGAATGGCACCGAATATGCCCCCGATACCATATATTACTTGGTACTAGGTGAGTTTTTTCCAGCTGGGATGTTTGTTTTGATATACATATTTTCTAATGATATTCATCTCCCATTACACAGGTATCCAACAGTATCTGTATGAAAATGGACGCATCGATAATATATTTACCGATACCTATTATGAACGTTTTACCGATTGCCTGGATGAAGTGGCTCGTAAATTTTCCGTTTTATATAATGATTCACGTAAGTTTTTGTTTGTTTTGGTGTTTGATGGTGTTTGTTTAATGCTTTCTTTTTTATGTTTTCCACAGAGTACATTGTCACTCGCGTCGAGGAGGAACATTTGTGGGAGTGCAAACAATTGGGTGCCCATTCACCGCATGTCTTGTTGAGCACATTAATGTTTTTCAACACAAAACATTTTAATTTAACGGTATGTCCAATCAATAAATACTTAGGGAGATGATTAGAAGGACCAATAAAGGGTCTGCTTTTAGATGGCCACATTGAAGAGGCCAAATTTAATTCAAGAACCAAATGATGGGTGGCCTAGCTTTAGATTTTTAGAAAACCTTTTGAAGACTAAAAGTTAAAAAAAAGAGAAACCAAAAACATAATCGTATAAAAAATTATTAAAAAATAATGTTTATGCCCGAAGTGGTGTAAAAATTCCACGCGCACATACCTGAATTCCGAATGAAACCCTCTTGAAAATCGTCTTAGTCTTGAAGTCTTGGGAGAAAACTATTTAAATTTTTATTCCTGAAAAAGTATTTGGTAGAAAATCATCGTTTGTATAACGTTTTTTAAGGAAATCCTTGCTATACAGGGTGAGATATAAAAAACTGCAACAAAGTCAAAAACCATAATTTTTACATTTTTCTTTAAAATGTTATTGAATGAAAACAAAAAATGTCCAAAATAGCATCTAATTTTATTTTTTTTAATTACCGGTATAGTCCTAAAAAATTCGGATACTTGTAGAAGGAATGGTCTGTAAAGATATTTTCTGTCGGTCTACAAAACTGTCCTTTCAAGTTTCCCATGTGGCTTTAATAGACTGGCAATTGAGAAAAAATGTGTTTTTTTTAAAGGTTTTTTTTAACTTTTTTTTTTCTAACTTTTTCTTTCAGACGGTAGAGGAGCACATGCAATTATCGTTCTCACATATAATGAAACACTGGAAACGCACTGGCCAAACGGCCAAAACACCTGGCTCACGTAATGTCCTACTACGTTTCTATCCGCCCCAAGCTGGACTTGGTAAGTATATATCGTAAAGCCTTTTTATACCCTCCACCATACTATGGAGGGTATATTTACTTTGTCATTCCGTTTGTAACACCTCGAAATATACATTGTAGACTCTATGTCGATTTAGCGATGCCCGTCTGTCTGTCCCTCTGTGGATATCACTCTAGCTTCCGAACGAAATGAAGTAGATTGATAAAATTTTACTCAAATATATATTATGTCTGCAGGACTTTTGGTATTGAAAACGGGACATGTGTATCCACGTCTTCGTATAGTCCCCATATAAGGTTACCTCCCGATATTCTTTTTATGGGAATATTTTTGCGGCATTATTCACCGGAATTGTTTCAAATTTTGTATTTGATGTTCGTAATGGGTGCTACAATCTATGACAGGAGATTGTCTATGCAGGTCCACGTCTTCGTATAGTCCCCATATAACGGTACCTACCGATATTCGTTATATCCGGAATTCTTTCTAATTTGGTATTTGAAGTTCGTAATGGATACTACAGCCTATGACAGCCGGAATTCTTTCTAATTTGGTATTTGAAGTTCGTAATGGATACTACAGCCTATGACAGAAAATTGCCTATGCAGGGCCTCAATTCTTGTTCTATGAAAATGTGAAATGAAAACTTTTATAAAGGAAAGAAATGTCAAATGAAAAATTTTATAAAGGAAATATTTTTCATTTCATATTTTCATTGAACAAGAATCCAGCCCCAGGTCCACGTCTTCGTATAGGCCCCATATATCATTACCTACCGATATTCGGTATTTTGACGAGTTTAGGTACAATACCCACCGAAATTGTTTGAGATATCGTATTTGCCGTTGAGATATCGTATTTGCTGGTCCAGGTCTTCGCACAGCTCCGATATAATGGTACCTCCCTATATACGATATTTTGATGATTTTAACTACATTATTCAACGTTTATTTCAAGTTTCGAATTTGAATATGGTAATGGCTAATGGCAAACAATGCCTATGTAAGTCCACGTCGTATAGACCCCAATATAACGGCAATATTCGGCATTTTTAAAATTTAACAGAATTTTTTAAGGTTTTTTTTTTTTAATTTCCACATTCGTTCCAAATGATGGAGGGTTTTCAAAGTTTGGCCCGGCCGAACTTACTGCTTTTTAACTTGTTTTAAGTTTCGCATTTGAATTTTGTAATGACTTATGACAAAAGTTATCTATGCAGGTCCATGTTGTCGTATAGGCCCTAATATAACAGCTACATTTGGTATTTTTAAGATTTGAATGGAATTTTTAAAGGATTTTATTGTTATTGAGAATTGCCAAATTCGTTTCAAATTGTGGAGGGCATTCAAAGTTTGGCCCGGGCGAACTTACAGCTTTTTTTACTTGTTTTAAGTTACCCGATATATTATTAAAACCTGTGCCATTCTTTTCAGAAGCTAATCCACGCAAGAAGAAAGTCTACGAGCAACAAGAAAATGAAGAAAATCCCCTACGCTGTCCCGTGCGTTTGTATGAGTTTTATCTTTCGAAATGGTAGGTTGTGGACATTTTTTTTGACAAATTATTTAAAACTGAATTTGATTTTTTTTTATTTCTTGTTTTTTGTTTCGCCAGTCCGGAAAGTGTAAAGACACGTAATGATGTATTTTATTTGCAACCCGAACGCTCATGTGTACCCGATTCACCGGTTTGGTACTCAACACAACCCTTAAGTCAGGAATCTTTACAGAAAATGCTGCATCGCGTTAAAATGGTGAAAGAAATCAATATAGCTCTATTGACAAGTTAATCATGAATGACCACAACCACATGATAATGATTGTATTGTTTGGAATACAAAAACGCTATGGAATAGACACCCACCAGCGCCTAGACAGACAGACAGAAAAACCAACGAACACCACAAATTGCTATCGTGAAGAACATAACCTAAAAAAATTGCTGCTTAAAGCTGGCAATGATGTTTCTACTAGAAGATGATAGATCAGAAATAAATCGGAAATAATAAGAAATGTTGGACTTGAAAACAACAATAACAACAACATTAATCGATATGAAGTAAAACAAAAAAAAAAAATAAATAATAATGATGAGAGTAATTGGTACAATTTTTGTACAACTTTAAAAACAAAAATAAAAACACGGACACTACACAAAAAAAAACCTATATATATAGAAGGCAAACACAAATTTGATATTTGTAATGTTAATATTTATAATAAATGGATTTCTTCTTTGTTTTATTTTTTTAATAGCTATACCTACACATACGCATGAATTTGGGGTTCATTGGCAAGTTTTGCTTTTTTTTAGAGCGAAACATTTATGTAAACTTTAAATAAAAATAATAATAATAATAATATCTTGTTTCAAAGTGCAAAGCACACTTTTTTCTTAACTTAATTTGATGCCCAACATTTTCCATAACTTTTTCTTTGTTTTTTGCAATACATTTATATTGGGTGTTCGTTTTGTTTTCTATTTTGATTTTGAAATAAAACGTTTGCCATTGATTTGTTGTGGTGGACCCCCCAAATCATCAATGATAAGCATTTTAGTTTTTAAGGTTTTATTTTTGTATTTTAAGGCATAATAGATCATTTTATGATTATATTCTGCATTAATTATAGAACTATACCAACATACTTGACATATACATTTTTTTTTTTGAAATAAAATATCCAAATTTTGATAACAAATGTTTTAAGGTTATTATTTTTTGTTGAGCATGTATTTTAATCACCCTCCTTCTCCTAATATCCAACCACATTTTATATGCTCACATTTTTTAATGTAATCTATTGGAATTAACTAATTTTAAAGTTTATATTTGCTTCAAAAAAAAAAAAAAAAAAAAAAAAATGGATGTAAAATATAGTCATGATGATTCTAGAATTTCTAAAATATAGACTAGGAAAACCCGGAACATGTTTTTGTTTTTCTTTTTGCTCCCTAATATAATGTATTACAACAAATTGATAAAGCATAAAACATAAACACACAGCAACTTCATATTTTCAAAATCACAAAAAAAGAATTTTAATAAAATAAAAAAAAAATAATTAATACATAAAAATAGAGAGTATATGGTGTGTTAGCAATTAATATACATACATTTACAAGCATACATACATTAATACATATATATTTACATTTTAAGTGACACTAATAACGAACACAAAACCATTGTAAAATAATGCATAAAACTGAAAGAAACAAAAAAAAAAAAAAAAAAAAACAACAAATGAAAAATAACTTGTGTGAAATAATGAATAAATAAAAAATAATTAAGTAACCAACTTATTTTTCGATAGATAATTTTTGTGGATGCGCCGGGGTGGTGGAGTTGCAATTTATATTTTAGGGCCATGCTATTTTTCCTCTTTCAAAAAGTGATCACAAATTATGGCTAAAAACCCCGAAATGTCAATATTTAAGGAGTTATGACCATTTTAAAGTATGCTATTTTTCCTCTTTCAAAAAGTGATCACAAATTATAGCTAAAAACCCCGAAATGTCAATATTTAAGGAGTTATGACCATTTTAAAGTATGCTATTTTTCCTCATTCAAAAAGTGATCACAAATTATGGCTAAAAACCCCGAAATGTCAATATTTAAGGAGTTATGACCATTTTAAAGTATGCTATTTTTCCTCTTTCAAAAAGTGATCACAAATTATAGCTAAAAACCCCGAAATGTCAATATTTAAGGAGTTATGACCATTTTAAAGTATGCTATTTTTCCTCTTTCAAAAAGTGATCACAAATTATAGCTAAAAACCACGAAATGTCAATATTTAAGGAGTTATGACCATTTTAAAGTATGCTATTTTTCCTCTTTCAAAAAGTGATCACAAATTATGGCTAAAAACCCCGAAATGTCAATATTTAAGGAGTTATGACCATTTTAAAGTATGCTATTTTTCCTCTTTCAAAAAGTGATCACAAATTATGGCTAAAAACCCCGAAATGTCAATATTTAAGGAGTTATGACCATTTTAAAGTATGCTATTTTTCCTCTTTCAAAAAGTGATCACAAATTATGGCTAAAAACCCCGAAATGTCAATATTTAAGGAGTTATGACCATTTTAAAGTATGCTATTTTTCCTCTTTCAAAAAGTGATCACAAATTATGGCTAAAAACCCCGAAATGTCAATATTTAAGGAGTTATGACCATTTTAAAGTATGCTATTTTTCCTCTTTCAAAAAGTGATCACAAATTATGGCTAAAAACCCCGAAATGTCAATATTTAAGGAGTTATGACCATTTTAAAGTATGCTATTTTTCCTCTTTCATAAAGTGATCACAAATTATGGCTAAAAACCCCGAAATGTCAATATTTAAGGAGTTATGACCATTTTAAAGTATGCTATTTTTCCTCTTTCAAAAAGTGATCACAAATTATGGCTAAAAACCCCGAAATGTCAATATTTAAGGAGTTATGACCATTTTAAAGTATGCTATTTTTCCTCTTTCAAAAAGTGATCACAAATTATGGCTAAAAACCCCGAAATGTCAATATTTAAGGAGTTATGACCATTTTAAAGTATGCTATTTCTCCTCTTTATAATAGTGATCACAAATTATAGCTAAAAACCCCGAAATGTCAATATTTAAGGAGTTATGACCATTTTAAAGTATGCTATTTTTCCTCTTTCAAAAAGTGATCACAAATTATAGATAAAAACCCCGAAATATCAATATTTAAGGAGTTATGACCATTTTAAAGTATGCTATTTTTCCTCTTTCAAAAAGTGATCACAAATTATGGCTAAAAACCCCGAAATGTCAATATTTAAGGAGTTATGACCATTTTAAAGTATGCTATTTTTCCTCTTTCAAAAAGTGATCACAAATTATGGCTAAAAACCCCGAAATGTCAATATTTAAGGAGTTATGACCATTTTAAAGTATGCTATTTTTCCTCTTTCAAAAAGTGATCACAAATTATGGCTAAAAACCCCGAAATGTCAATATTTAAGGAGTTATGACCATTTTAAAGTATGCTATTTTTCCTCTTTCAAAAAGTGATCACAAATTATGGCTAAAAACCCCGAAATGTCAATATTTAAGGAGTTATGACCATTTTAAAGTATGCTATTTTTCCTCTTTCATAAAGTGATCACAAATTATGGCTAAAAACCCCGAAATGTCAATATTTAAGGAGTTATGACCATTTTAAAGTATGCTATTTTTCCTCTTTCAAAAAGTGATCACAAATTATGGCTAAAAACCCCGAAATGTCAATATTTAAGGAGTTATGACCATTTTAAAGTATGCTATTTTTCCTCTTTCAAAAAGTGATCACAAATTATGGCTAAAAACCCCGAAATGTCAATATTTAAGGAGTTATGACCATTTTAAAGTATGCTATTTCTCCTCTTTATAATAGTGATCACAAATTATGGCTAAAAACCCCGAAATGTCAATATTTAAGGAGTTATGACCATTTTAAAGTATGCTATTTTTCCTCTTTCAAAAAGTGATCACAAATTATGGCTAAAAACCCCGAAATGTCAATATTTAAGGAGTTATGACCATTTTAAAGTATGCTATTTTTCCTCTTTCAAAAAGTGATCACAAATTATGGCTAAAAACCCCGAAATGTCAATATTTAAGGAGTTATGACCATTTTAAAGTATGCTATTTTTCCTCTTTCAAAAAGTGATCACAAATTATAGCTAAAAACCCCGAAATGTCAATATTTAAGGAGTTATGACCATTTTAAAGTATGCTATTTTTCCTCTTTCAAAAAGTGATCACAAATTATAGCTAAAAACCCCGAAATGTCAATATTTAAGGAGTTATGACCATTTTAAAGTATGCTATTTTTCCTCTTTCAAAAAGTGATCACAAATTATGGCTAAAAACCCCGAAATGTCAATATTTAAGGAGTTATGACCATTTTAAAGTATGCTATTTTTCCTCTTTATAATAGTGATCACAAATTATGGCTAAAAACCCCGAAATGTCAATATTTAAGGAGTTATGACCATTTTAAAGTATGCTATTTTTCCTCTTTCAAAAAGTGATCACAAATTATGGCTAAAAATCCCGAAATGTCAATATTTAAGGAGTTATGACCATTTCAAAGTATGCTATTTTTCCTCTTTCAAAAAGTGATCACAAATTATGGCTAAAAACCCCGAAATGTCAATATTTAAGGAGTTATGACCATTTTAAAGTATGCTATTTTTCCTCTTTCAAAAAGTGATCACAAATTATGGCTAAAAACCCCGAAATGTCAATATTTAAGGAGTTATGACCATTTTAAAGTATGCTATTTTTCCTCTTTCAAAAAGTGATCACAAATTATAGCTAAAAACCCCGAAATGTCAATATTTAAGGAGTTATGACCATTTTAAAGTATGCTATTTTTCCTCTTTATAATAGTGATCACAAATTATGGCTAAAAACCCCGAAATGTCAATATTTAAGGAGTTATGACCATTTTAAAGTATGCTATTTTTCCTCTTTCAAAAAGTGATCACAAATTATGGCTAAAAATCCCGAAATGTCAATATTTAAGGAGTTATGACCATTTCAAAGTATGCTATTTTTCCTCTTTCAAAAAGTGATCACAAATTATGGCTAAAAACCCCGAAATGTCAATATTTAAGGAGTTATGACCATTTTAAAGTATGCTATTTTTCCTCTTTCAAAAAGTGATCACAAATTATGGCTAAAAACCCCGAAATGTCAATATTTAAGGAGTTATGACCATTTTAAAGTATGCTATTTTTCCTCTTTCAAAAAGTGATCACAAATTATGGCTAAAAACCCCGAAATGTCAATATTTAAGGAGTTATGACCATTTTAAAGTATGCTATTTTTCCTCTTTCAAAAAGTGATCACAAATTATGGCTAAAAACCCCGAAATGTCAATATTTAAGGAGTTATGACCATTTTAAAGTATGCTATTTTTCCTCTTTCAAAAAGTGATCACAAATTATGGCTAGAAACCCCGAAATGTCAATATTTAAGGAGTTATGACCATTTTAAAGTATGCTATTTTTCCTCTTTCAAAAAGTGATCACAAATTATGGCTAGAAACCCCGAAATGTCAATATTTAAGGAGTTATGACCATTTTAAAGTATGCTATTTTTCCTCTTTCAAAAAGTGATCACAAATTATGGCTAAAAACCCCGAAATGTCAATATTTAAGGAGTTATGACCATTTTAAAGTATGCTATTTTTCCTCTTTCAAAAAGTGATCACAAATTATGGCTAGAAACCCCGAAATGTCAATATTTAAGGAGTTATGACCATTTTAAAGTATGCTATTTTTCCTCTTTCAAAAAGTGATCACAAATTATGGCTAAAAATCCCGAAATGTCAATATTTAAGGAGTTATGACCATTTTAAAGTATGCTATTTTTCCTCTTTCAAAAAGTGATCACAAATTATGGCTAAAAACCCCGAAATGTCAATTTTTAAGGAGTTATGACCATTTTAAAGTATGCTATTTTTCCTCTTTCAAAAAGTGATCACAAATTATGGCTAAAAATCCCGAAATGTCAATATTTAAGGAGTTATGACCATTTTAAAGTATGCTATTTTTCCTCTTTCAAAAAGTGATCACAAATTATGGCTAGAAACCCCGAAATGTCAATATTTAAGGAGTTATGACCATTTTAAAGTATGCCATTTTTCCTCTTTCAAAAAGTGATCACAAATTATGGCTAAAAATCCCGAAATGTCAATATTTTAGGAGTTATGACCATTTTAAAGTATGCTATTTTTCCTCTTTCAAAAAGTGATCACAAATTATGGCTAAAAATCCCGAAATGTCAATATTTAAGGAGTTATGACCATTTTAAAGTATGCTATTTTTCCTCTTTCAAAAAGTGATCACAAATTATGGCTAAAAACCCCGAAATGTCAATATTTAAGGAGTTATGACCATTTTAAAGTATGCTATTTTTCCTCTTTCAAAAAGTGATCACAAATTATGGCTAAAAACCCCGAAATGTCAATATTTAAGGAGTTATGACCATTTTAAAGTATGCTATTTTTCCTCTTTCAAAAAGTGATCACAAATTATGGCTAAAAATCCCGAAATGTCAATATTTTAGGAGTTATGACCATTTTAAAGTATGCTATTTTTCCTCTTTCAAAAAGTGATCACAAATTATGGCTAAAAATCCCGAAATGTCAATATTTAAGGAGTTATGACCATTTTAAAGTATGCTATTTTTCCTCTTTCAAAAAGTGATCACAAATTATGGCTAAAAACCCCGA